AGTTAGGGAGGACCTGAACCTATTTGTAGACTAGACAAGGAGACACTGGGAAAAAGGGAGAGGAGGGATTAACTAGAGGAAAGGCCTGGGAGGAGATGGGAATGGGACCAATTCCACTGAATTCTACCAGTAAAGTCTCTATGCTAGGCACCTGGAGCACAAGGACAAAGATGAAAGCGTCCTCCAAGCCCTCTAAGAACTTATATTTTACTGGATCAAGGGCACAAATGGGGGGAGGGGGAGCTTAGGCAAGAACAAGGAAGGGGGGGCCTTAGGAGAGATTAGGACAATTACTGTTGGAATGTCTTCACTTTCTCAGTCAATGATGGGGAAGAAAGTGGAGTTAGGGGGCCTGAGAGAGATTTGGAGCAACTGCTATAGGTAGTGAGACAGGGAATCTCTAAGAGATGAATAAGAGGGTCGCCATTTTAACAAAGCACTTTCTTCACAATCATCACACAAAGTGCCCTCCGAATAGGGTAGGAATCCAGGTGTTCTGGCCCATGACTCATAAAGGGCAGGATTTCTCATCTCTTCCCTCTTAGAAGGCCCTTCCCTTCCCTACCTACCCCTTAATCATCAGATCCGTTAATGGCTGTTAATGAAACCTTTTTTTCTGCCTCTTCCCTCTCCTTGCTCCTCTCACCCCACCATCCCTCATACGCTTACATGCAGGGGGACTTTCTGAACCAGAAATGGAGGCCAGGTCTGACAAAGGACATTCATTTTGCAAAGCCTTTTAAAACGTCCACTTTCTTTTCTAGACAACAGGATTGTCCTGGTAAAGCCAGCATGTGCTCAGCAGAGAGCCGTGTCCCACTTGCTTGGTGTTAGCTGTGAGCTGCCTTGTGATCTGGTCCTGGGTTTGAATTCTGGCTCTGCCTCTCAAGAGCTATGTGGAGTAAGTTACTTCATTTTTGGGCCCCAAATTCCTCATCTGCAAAATGAGAGGGTGGACTCCCAAAACAGGGCACATGATCTCTCATGATCTCTTGATCTCTTGTCATTGTTACTTAACCCTTTAATCTTAACTTTAATTTAAACTTAATCCTTTAACTTTTTATCTGCATCCCTCATCTCCTTAACCTAACCATACTGTCTTACCCATCAGTCTCCCTGGAATTACCTAGGAAAGGGTCTGGCAGTAAAGTGAAGTGCTCAGTAGATGTCTGCTCATGAAATGAGGCGAAAGACATGGAAAGGGATGGTTGGATCTGATGCCCTCTTGGGTCTGTCACAAGTAACGCACAGAATTGGAGAATATTTAGACTGCTGGAGATGGAGGGGACCCAAGGAAACAGGTTTTTTTGTTTGTTTTGTTTGTTTGTTTTTTTTTTGTTACAGAAAATGAACCTGAAGCTCAGAGAAGGGAAAAAAAAAAACTAGCTCAAGGTCATATGATGAATGCATGAATAAAGCATTTATTAAGCATTTGCTCTATGCAAAGCTAAGTACTGGAGATACAAATAGAAAAGGAAGATAGTTCCTGCCCTCAAGGAGCTCACACTCTAATGGAGGAGACAACACATAATGGAAGTCAGACGTTAAAGTCCCAAGCTCCTTAGGGTGCAGCCCCAAAGTAGAGGTTAATGCCTCTTCTTTTATGTCACTTCCACCAATAAAAATCATGCCAGTGTCAGATGTTGAACCATTGGACAGCACCAAGGACGTTGGTGACAAGAGCTTTCTTTCCTGGGTCTTGCAGCACCTGAAGGAACACTTAGTTGCCGCAGTTTCCCTAGATGATTTACAATGGATGCTTTGCTGTAAGTACTGTGATTCCCAAGGCTGGGTTCAAAGTCTGAGCCATCTTCATCAGAATCCGAGGGACACTGGGGGGAGAGGGTGCATATCCTAGCTGGTGGTGGTTTGACTTTTCTCCCCCTCAGGGCTCCTTCTTACTTCAGCCAGGCTGGCTCACTTGTCCAGTGAGGGGCAGTTGGTAGCGATGGCTGGCCTTCTCTCCACAGGAGTTGTTTCCCTGGACAGTGGCTGAAAAGTCTGGGCTGGAAGCATGCCATGGGGGAAAGGGGGGCATGGTATAGGGGCACAGCAGTGTTGCCACTCTCAGGGTTCTGTGTCTATATGCTGGTCAGTGATAATGAGTAAGATGGGCCTTTTTTCCAGTTTCTTCCCTCAATGATGGCTTGGGGGCTGGGCTGGAAGAAAGTCTGGGAGGTCAGGGCCACATCATTTCCAAAGGTTCATGGTCCTGGGCTGTTGTCTCCACAGGCGTATAGGGGAAAATGGTGGTCAGGGTGGTGGGGGTGGTTTGACTTGACTGAGTTAGAATCCTGCTTCATTTACATAGTGAGTTAGTGACAGTGTCTGGATTAGAACTCAGGTCCAATTAACTGACTTGGGGCCCAGCACTCTTCTCTTTCTCCACAATTTAACCTAATTAATGAATCGTTGTACGATTACCTTTGGAAGTTGTTTGATGTCTGGAAGACAATTGCCTCATCTATTGCTGTTACAATTGATTAAGTGAAAATTACAGTCAAACCCAGTTATGGCAAATTACTGTTCTAAAATGTCTTACTAACAGGCTACACCATGCCCATTAGGTTCTGTGGTTCATAGGGCAGGCACCTCTGACTGTAGAAGGAAAAGCCTATGACACAGGATTATTCCTGCCTTCCAACAGTGTCAAGTCAGAAGACACGGGTTCAAATCCTGCCTCTGCTACTTAATGGCAGTGTGATCTTGACAGCCCCTCTCATCTCCCCTCTCTGGGCCTGTTTCCTCATCTGTAAAATGAGTTGGCTCATTAGTGTTGCCTCTGAGGTCTCTTACAGCTCTGAGATTCTCTAGCTTCCAGTTCACTCCTATGTATAGGAAGCACAAGGAACAGGGAGTAAGAATTTGCCCTTCTGAAAACTTTATCAAAGGCACTGTTGGTTTGAAGGTCAGTAGGTCAGTTAGCACTGTACAGAGTTCACAGCTGGAGGCAGCCAATTCTCTAGATCGAACACGCTTGCCATATCGGGTAGGCGGCACTCTCTTTAACAAGAAGAGGAATCTGTTCCCTTGCAAAGTAGCATCCACACCGAACTGGGAGATGGGGTCACTCTCTACCACAGCAGCCAACGTCGGTCACCGACTATTCATGGTTCATGGGTTCTCAGGCCGGACATAACCTTTGCACCTTTTAGTCCGGCCCCCTCATTCTAGAGAGCCAGAGAGTGAATGTTAAGTGACTTCCCCAGGGTCACAAAGGAAATGCTCCAATTTAGTTCGGTTCCCGGACTCCAATTCCAAAGTTCCTTCCTCCCAGCTTGCAAGGGCGGGGGCTGGGGTTATCCTCCCAAACCTGCTCATATACACCCCACTCCTTCTAGTTACAGTGAGAGGCCCAACCCGCCTGAATCTTCGCTTCAAAGAACACTCCACCAGATGCTAGACTGCCATTTGTAATATTTTTAATGAGTTGCTACGTCTTACACTCATAATTATAAAAGAATAAGAATCCACAAAAATATTTTCTTTTCATAATACGCACTTAAAATACTCGGGCAAAGTAGATGTGGTTCGTTTACTTTTCTTTAACGCCCCTGGCGGAACTCTTGGCTGGGAAGGAAGGTGGGAAAGGGAAAGGATTACCCTGAAGTGGGATGGTTCTAATTCCCAACCCCGGATGCGTGATTCACATGAGCGAGGTGAACAGAGATGCATTGCAGGAGAGATGGCGAGGGATAACAGTCACTGACCTGCAGAGAACTGAAGCACAGCAAATATTTCAGTGCATGCCTGAAAGCTCAGGGAACGGTTTTGGGGAGAGGGGACAAGGAAGGAGCTGATGGAGAAGAACCAGAGAGGAAACAGGACAAGAAACATAAATATTCATTTCATCTCATCTAGGAAAAAATCCTGGGTGACACTCCTGCAGCCCCCAAATGGATGGCCCATCCAGAGGCCAAGATACCTGCTGGCACTGTTCTGCCATTCTGGGGAACAGGAGGAGAGCGTGTGCTCTGCGCCATCCCAACAGCCCCACGCAGTTGGGCTGCCCCTCAAACAGCCCCAGATAAACCCCTCAGGCCGCCCAATCAGATGTGAAAGCTCCAATCATAAAGAAACCAAAGTATGGAGGAGAGAAAGATCACGTGCCTCGGTCCCAGATATCTGCTCCTATGCTGCTGTTTCTCTCAGGGGACCAGAGGCAGGTGGCCAGCCTGGAAGCCACAGCCTCCTGGCTTAAGGCAGCTTTCCTAATTCGCTCATCTCGGCTCTGGGTGCTCCTCCCCCATCCCCACCTAACCAGGACAAACTTCAGCCACTGCAAGGCCCTTTATCCCATTTCCCACCAGGCAGCCATAAAATAGGTAGGAGGAAGATGCAGAAAGAGAGCCATGGTGGAGACTGGCCACTGTCTTTCAGTCCTGCAATCAAAGATGTGGGAGCCAAAATAGAGGGACGTTAAAAAAAATGACAAGCTTCAGCTGGCAATGGAGAGCAATTCCACAGGGATGAGTCAAGGGAGGAGGCACCATTCCAAGCATCCTTGGCCCCTTCCCCATGCTCAGGCCAGGCGATGGGGAGCCAGGAGGTGGGCCGCTGGCCATTTGTGCTCTGGATAAGAAGGCTATTAGGGGTCAGAGGTGAGCTGTCAGTGTTCCATGGGTCTGGCCAAGACCGTGTGCTCAGAGGTATTCTTGTAGAAAGTGCAGCAGTGTGATTTCGTAGTGCTCTCCTGACTCGGGGCAGCGAATACTGTGTCTCTCATTGGGATAGATCTGTGTGGGAGACAGAAGGAGCTCATTACTGTACTTGCTTGTTTCTGTCTCTTGGCACCAACCTGACTTAGGGATGGATGGACGGGAAGGGAACTCTCAGCACCAAGAGAAAGAAAAGAGATCTCTCTGATTCTATCAGCCTTGTTCCCTACCCCTATGAATCACAAAGTCCAGGACACCATCCCACGTTCTTCAGGACCCTTCTCCTTCCAATGACATCCTCTCCAATCTCCTAACCCCAAGGGCCCAGATTCCTCTAGTTCTTCACCCTCCCGACTAGCAAAATCTGCTTTTGGGTATCACTGGGGGTGGTTTTGGGGGTGAGTAGGGAAACTGAAAAGTAAATTCACACTGAAGTGTAAATGACTGTTAAGGAAAAGTTTCCCTAAAAATCAGCCCCAGAAGAGAATGAACTGCCTCAGGAGGAAATGGACTCTCTCGATGCAACAGATCATCAAGCAAAAACTGGATGACCATTTGTTGGGTGTGTTGTAGAAGATAATACCATTCAGCTACGAGTTGGAGGGAAGCGGCTACTGAGGGCCCTCCCGACGCTGAGATTCTGTGACTGACAAATGCTTTCTGCGGCCATCTGTCTTAAGAAATGAATCTCAAATGGTAGGATTTCAGGCTACAGACATACCCTTTGCAAGGAGTGAGGGGATAAGGAGGACTTCTTGGGCAGAGCTGTCTCCCTGGCAACCCTCAAGTCACACTACGAGCAGGAGTGAGGTGCAGGGGTCAGAGAACCTGAGCTCACTGCTTACCAGCAATGTGATCTTGGCCAAGTCCCCTGACCTGTCTAAATTTCTGTTCCCTCACCGGCCTATGGAAACAAGTGGCTAGCAGCCTGCTCCCCAGTGCTCCTGTGGGGATCAGATGAAAGAATGAGCACAGGAGAGCTCCAGCACCAGAAAGCCAACAGAAACATGCTGGATTGATTCCCCAACTCTGCCTGGGTGCAAGCACTGCCTCCGGGGCAACATGGTGGCTTCCAGGCATCCTCAGTCATGTGAATGGAGATGCCAGCAGGTGAGTATAAAGTGACTGGTCATACCCAGTCAGCCCAAAAGACTCAGGGGGCATACCATGCCTTCAATCACTTTAAAAAAAAAGTTTTTTTTTTAAATTAAAATTTAAAAATTTAATCTATAAACCTTAAAGCATTCTACCAATGGGAACTATTGTTATTTTTCACGATGTGAGTGGGTGGGGGCTCTTCGTCAAGAACAGGGTAGGTGGGTAATGCCAACGGCCTAGGCACAACTCCCCTGAGGGAATGGCACAAGGGGCCTGGTGGAGCCTGGAGAGGGACAGGAGGTAGAAAGGGAAAGGGAAAGTAACTAGGAGAAGAGGAAGGAAGTAGAACAGAGGGACACACTCCTTCTCCACAGACTTCTCTCTATGGAGCGGTGACCCCCACCACAAAATTCCCTTAGCAACACCCAGCCCCATTTTGTCACCAAAGGCTTGCCCATCCTCAAGTCTCCATTTAAAATGTCAATGCAGTAATCCTTGCTGGGGAACGAGCGTAGCTGGGAAACAAACTGAATTCTCCACTCAGTATGTGACCCTGTGCAATCCTTTCTAAACCCTCAGTATCCCAGGATTTTTTGTTTGTTTGTTTCCCTGGATCCCCTTTAACAGTTCCTACAAAACACTGGCTCAACCGCTCCCTAGCTCTATGGCCACCTGGCCTCTCTGAGCCTTAGCTTTCTCGTATGTAAAAGGGCGGGGGTAATATTCCCTCCTTCTTAGAGCTAGGTAAGCTGAAAGCCCTCAAAAATGGCAACCATTCCTCTACAGGCAGCAGCCTGCCCTCATGAAAGCCCTCTTGCCCTCTCCTACCCACCCGGGCTGTCCTTGCCTAGTCCCAGGGTCAGAGGATTTAGAGTTGGAAGGCCCTTGAGAAATGACCTCATCTCGGCTTGCTGTAGGATGGCCCACAGCTGGAGCCCCACCCCCCAGCTTCCTGGCAGTGGAAAAGGCACTGCGTGTGGACTGACGGCCCAAGTCCTCATCCCAGCTCTGTAGGCCACACAGGATTCTCACCTGTGAAATAAGAGACTTGGGATGAGGACCTTCCATTGGCCCTTCCAGCTCTGATACCCTATGATATGCTGAGGAAGCTTCGGCCCCTAGGTATGGTCCCCCACCCTACCCAGGAGCCTCCCAGAATGGTGGAAATGCTCACCAGCCCACACCCACCTGCAGCTGGTAGGGTTTTCCAGCCCGGATTAGCTGGGAAACAAGGAAGTTTGTGTGGAAAAAGTGCACATTTTCATCCAGGAAACCATGAAGGATCAACAAGCGATTTGGCCTGGAAAAGAAGATGTGGATGAGAACCTCCGGACAAGGGGACAGAACAATATCCTCACCTTGGGACTAGAACCTGAGTATCTCTCCCAGCCAGCACCCAGGGAATTAAAATAAAAAGTTTTAACACAAACATTTATTGAATACTCTATCATAAAAACATCTTTTATTCATCAAACTAGACACTCAAACTTAATTTTTAAAAATTAACTAATGCTTACTTTTAAAATACATACTTTAACAATGAGACACACAATACCAAACTTTTTTTTGAGAAATTAGGCTACACACCCGGGCACCAACTGGCACAGCCTGTCCTGTCTACATGTTTATGCCCAGAAGCTAAGAGTTTCTCTCCCGAGTACCACCAGGAACAGAGCCCTTAGCATGCCAGGTCTTTGGGGGTACTAGCGTTGATGGTCAAGAAGTGTTTACTAAAGAGGTTCACGCAAAGAGAGGAGGATGAGGAAGAGAAGCCGGCTGCTGATCTAACAAAGTGGGGGATAAATGACCATCACGCAAGTGACCAAACACAAGGGAAGAAGGGGGTTCTGATGGAGAAGCTAACATGCCGTCCCCTTAATCAGCACCAGCTGGGTCTGGTAGAGGAGCCAGGAGAGCCCAGGGATCCTACCCCAATTCTGACACTTACTGTGTGACTCAGTGAAGGGCAGATCACCTGGCTTTCCTGTGCCCGAGATTCCTCATCTGCAAAATGGAGGGTGAGGTAGCAGAGTGTCAAAGAGAGAGAGCCGGGCTCTGACCTGCCTCTGACACAGACCACCTGGGTGGCCTCGAGCAACTCTCCAAGACCCCACGTTACAGGCAAGCTGCCCGTCTGCACCAAGGGAGGGAATTTCCACACCAGGGATTCTCCACATGAATCTACAGGTCTAGCTCCCCTCAATATGGAGATGCTGCTATTTCTCTGACTACCTCACAGGGCTGTTATGAGGAAGTCACCAAATAACTCCAAGACAACTTAGAGTTCTAATTATTAATGGGTATTTACTGGGCATCTGCTTATGTACATGCCCCATAATGGTCACAGGTAATCTAGTCCAATGGCCTCATTTTACAGATGAGGAAACTGAGGCCCAGAGAATGGGGAGAGGAGGGAGGCAGAGGGGAGGAAGAGCTACATGAGGGGTAGAGACATTGGGAATTCTGGGAAGGGGAAATCACTTAGGCCTGGAGGATTGGGACAGTGAGAATTAGGAAAGGCTTCACAGAGAACTGGGTATTTTGAACTGGGTTGTACAGCACATCTCGATAGGTGGAAGGAGACTGGGAGAGCAGGGGTGACCATTCCAGCCAATGAGACCAATATGATTAAAAGCCCATAGTTATTTTGAAAGGACAGCAACCTGACCAGGATGGCTAAAGCAGAGAGTCTGTGTAGACCTGGGGCTCTTCACCCAGGGCTTGGTAACTTGCTTTTAAAACATTCCGATAAGTGCTTTTCTATACAACTGGTTTCCCTTTATAATGCTACATATTTTATTTTCTGCATTTAAAAACATGATTCTGAGAAGTCCACAGGCTTCACTAGACTGCCAGAGGGTCCATGACCCCAAAAAAGTTAAGGACTACTCACTTAGAGGTACAGGGGAGGAAAGGTAGGGCAAGTAGTGGCATCCAACTGTCAAGAATTCCAGAGGAGTGTTCTAACCCACTTACTCATTAGGCAGTTTCTCCACATGCAATGCCACAGAGCCTGCCTCATAACCCTGCTGGTTGTTCTCTGGGACATCCATGTACCGCTCGGTATATCCAGTATCATAGGCCATCCACACTGTGACTGGGGCACCGGCAATGGCAACCTGGCAAACAAGAAATGGGCAAGGACACAAGAAGCTAAGGTCATCTAAACCCAACATACCAAATAATCTGCAGGCCCTCACTCTAAACTCAAGAGACCCAAAGGAATAGAGTTTTCATAAAGTATGACTACTGGGTCCTTTGAGCACATCAGTGGGCTGGTGGGGAGGAAGATGGGGGCCCTTAGACGGTTGGCTTTTGAGGCCCTCCCAGCAGCCAAATCCCCACTATTTATTTCTTTGTCTGCCTTGTTCTCATCCCCCAAGCCCAGCCACCTCCATAGGCCTCATACCCCTCACCCAACTCCTCTGCACACCATTCCCCACCTCTGCCCATCTGAGGCCGGAGTCCCGGGTTCAGCCTTAAACACAAAGTTGCTGATGGGTTTTGTGAAGCCGGATGCGGTTCGTGGATCAGCAGTGGAGGGCAATGAGGAAAGAGGGCTCTTCCCCATAATACTGCTGCAGGGAGAAACAGCCAAGTAGCACGACCACCTCGCTGGCATGGGAGCGGCCCACGTTCCGTCCCCAGCACACTGAGTTCACGCACAGCAGCACAGAAGGGCAGGGCAGGGCCCAGAACCAGCCTGAGGAGGCACTCACCTTGAACACATGGGGCTTGTGAATCAGCCCCATGAGGGACAGGAAGCCCCCATAAGACCAGCCATGGATGGCGACTCGACTCAGGTCGATGAACCCATACTTCTCAGCCACGAAATGTAAACCTTCCACCTGATCCTCTATTTCTACCTGACCCTGGGGAGCAGAGAAAGAAGAGTCAGGAGACGTGTTTCAACCAGTTGGCCAAAGCGACTACATATGGACACGGACCCTCAGAACCAGCTGGACAGATTGCCAAAGGGCCAGGGGAACCTGGCTTCCCTGATGCCAATGCCAGGCCTGTGCAACTCAGGTCCAACCCTTCTTAAGAAGCCTTCCTTTGCAATTTGGTGCAGTAGAAATGATGCTGGATTCAGACTAGTGGACTCTTTGTTCAAGTCCTGACTCTGCTTATTAGCTGTGTGGCCTTGGACAAGCTGCCTGAGCCTCAGTATCCCGATCTCTGAAATGGGTAGACTGATCACTTGCACAGCTGACCTCCCAGGATTGTTTTCAGGTTCAAAGAAGAGAGTGCACAATGTGCTCTGTAAACCAAGACGTGCTACCCAGCATCGTAGAGCCAAGAGGACATTAGAAAGCATCTAATTCAATGTCCCTATTTGACAGAGGAGGAGACTGAGACCATGAGGGCGGAGCTTATGTGTCTAGGACCATGTGGCAGCTTCGGGGTCTTCTAACTACAAACCCTGACCCTATGAATGTTAACAGTTTTCATCTTTCCCTTTCTTCCTGACCACCTAATATATTATATTCAGTCTTAGACTGCTAATGTTTTTATATTTTAATTGTCTCCTTTTAATTAGAACGTGAGTTCAGGGTAGGGACTGTACTTTCACATTCCCCTAACAGTGTCTGGCACAGTATAGCTGCTCATTAAATGCTTATTGATTAAATGATAGGTTTTGTTGTTCCACCTTCTACAAGAAGCCTTTCCCAGGCTCCCTTAATATTAGTGCCTTCCCTCTGAGATTACCTTGACGTTAACATCTTGATCCATTCATACAACTATAGATGGTTCGTACATAAGTCTGTCTGCATATTGTTTCCACCGTTAGAATGGGAACTCCTGGAGGGCAGACTGTTTTTGCCCTCCTTTGCATTCTTGGTGCTTAGCACAGTGCCTGACACACAGTAAGCACTTAAAAAATACTTGTTGATTTTGAAATGCTGTAAGGGGTCCAGTCAGTCCTACAGCCAGCTTCTGACAGCGGGGCAGTGTAGTGGGAAAGCCACAGCTATCCTCCTAGGATAGTGTCTCCAAAGAAACCCATCGTGTGTCTATCACTCAGGGACAGACTTTGAAAAAACATTTACCATTTGGTTTTTAAGAGCCCCTTCAAACTGCAGTCCTCGCTGACAAGAACCTCGGCCATCAATCACCACCACAGCGTAGCCAAGAGATGCTAAGGTGTTGAGCCTCAAATATTTAATGCCTTTGAAAGAGTTGTTAACTAGTTGTACCTATAGTGGGGCAGAGAAGGAACACGATTAAATAGACCATCATGACATGTTTTAGGATGTTGGCCAAGGGAACCTGGGAAGTCAGAAAAACCAATGGAGATCCCTTTCCCTTTCTAACAGAACCCTGGTACATCCTAAACCAAGATGGTCACATTCCTGACTGTGACCCATCTCCCACTATTCTCCAACATGTATCCTTCATTCCATCCAGGATCATTCCATGTCCCACAAGCCTGAGCACTCCCTCCACCTCTGGGCCTCTACCCATGCCATTGCTCTCTGACCCTACCGCGCCCCCTCCAATCTCAGAATGTCCCTTCTCCTCCTCACCATCTAGACATTCAGAGAATGACCTTGGGTGCCATCTAGTCTCAGAATCCCTCATTCAGTTCAGAGAGGCCAAGTGTTCTGGCCTAGACCCCACAACTAGTAAATGGTAGAGCCAGGACCCAAATCCAGGCCTCCTGACTCAAAACCCTCTGCGCTCCCTCATATCATGTTATCTCCCACCAAAGCCTGAGTAGATGGAGCTCTACCTCCCCTGTGAAGTATTTCTGGACCCGATCCAGTCTTTAGCTATTACTCTATCCTTTTGTCCTGCCATTTTGACTTTCATCATAACCCTTCATCCATTCATTATCTTTATATCTGTGTTCTTCCTGGCCAAGGAACATGCCTGATGCACCTGGGCACTGCTGGCAGGTGTTACATCAACACAAAAGTCAGTGAGCCAAAATGTTATCCGAGGGTGCTTCCAACACTGATGCCAATACTCACACTTTGCTCTCCATGCCTTAGGCTTTATCAGTTACTGTGACCAAACAAACAAAATTCCTGTCGCCAATGGTTTATTTTGTCCTGATGATCCTCTGCATTGAGCCAGGCCTGCCTTAGAGCACAAAGTCATTGCCAGGTCTGTACTCAAGTTTTTCAGCTCATTAGAGCTTATAGATTACATTCATTTACTGAATGATTTACTAAAATTATCTTTCTTTCCTCATACCTCATAGGGCCAGCACTCTTCTCCTCTAATATGTTTAGGGTCTACTATGGTTATTTGTGTACATGCCATATCCTACCAGCCTAGGCCCCTTTAGAAGGCAGACTATGAGGAGAAGGACGTTGTTAGTAATTGCTGCCTCCTCTTTTCCCAGAGTCAAGCATTGGGCTCTGAATGAACGCAGATGCTTAATAAATGCTGAATCAGCATTCGTAGAATTGCAATTCTTGCTGGCCAGGCAGACAATGCTCACCTTATTCTGTCTTCCTGGGAGGCCAGTGCCGCCACATGAATCAAGTCCTAAGTGTAAGGAGAGGACAGCTAAGGAGGAAAGGGTCTGCAGCCCAGCAGTGTACTGACCTGAGGTCCCCCGTATACAAAGAGCACCGTTGGATGCTTTTTTCCAGGTTGGACGTTGTGGGGTTTGTAGATCATGCCATACAGCTCCACATCAGACTGCGTATGGAAGTGAAAGATTTCAGGAGGCACATAATCTGGGGGACAGCCTGGAAAGCACAGAGCCGGCAGCTCAGTGGTTACACTCAGCCTCTGGGAATCACAGCCCAGAGCTCTGAGGAACAAACACGGGCAGCTTATCCTGCACCACCCCTGCCTTATGCTAACCGCAAACCATTCACTTTTGTATGCAAAGAACTGCAAGTGGCCTTAGGACACAGAGCATGGAATATCAGGGCAGGAAGGACTCTTAGAATATAGAATGTCAGGGCTAAAAAGGACTTTAGAGGATATAGAACCTAGAACATCCAGAGTGGAAGGGACCGACTGAGATCAGCTAGTGTGATACTCTCATTTTACAGAAGAAAAAATGAAGGGACCAGAGAGGGAAGAGAGAGAGGTCAGTGGCAGGGCTGGGATTCAAACCCAGGTCACTCAACTTTCAGCATCCCTCTAGCAATCTAGATCACAGAGGATATGAGAATGTCAGAGTTGGGAGGGACCCCAAAGGTCATCTGGTCTACTTCCCTTTCTTCATGGTAGAAAGGAGTAACGTGAGGCCACAAGAAGTTATTTGGACAAGGTCACACAGTCAGGAAGTCACAGAAGACAAAAGCCGAGAAGCCTAGTGCTTAGTACAGTGCCTGGCATACAGTAGGCACTTAGTGAAAGGGTTACAAAGCCCTGCCCTCCCCTCACCCTGAGGAGGCTGGAAGGTAGCCATAATCCAAAGTAGCAGAATAACTGAGTCACAAAGGAGAAAAGGACCAGATGAGCCCCTACTGTCTCACCCCTAGTCGCAGAGGCCTATGCTACTCTGTTTGACTTGCTGACCTGAGGGGTTGGGTGTCCTGGGGCCATTTCAGGGTGGAGGTGGGGGGGTGCAACAGGTCTCCCCCCAACCCCAACGAGGTCAGCCTCAGTGTTATCACAGCTAGAGTGGGAGCCTTTGGGTACTCACTGGCTGCCTCCATCATGCTGGCCCAGAACTTGGGCTGTCTGTGGAGTGGGTCGTCGTCAGAACCGCTCAGCTTGTAGACATGCACGCAGGGCGGAGTGCTGACATTGCTGTAGTGGCTGATGAACATGTCAAAGTTCTACAGACCAGAAAGAGAACAAGGACATGTTAAGGAGGATAGCTTAGCACTTCTCTCTGGAGGGCTCACGGGCTCCCTTCTAGAGGTAACAAGGTCTGCCCAGGAATCAGGTTCCTCCTCCAGCTCTGTATGAACTAGGATCAGCCCTTTCTCCTCCCTCAGTGCCTCTACATAACGAGGGGCTTGGACAAATCTCCAAGGCATCCTCTCAACTGATCAATGCCCACCATCTGTCTTCAAAACCTCTCTCTCTACACCTATGCTAAACGAAATGAGAACTGTCACCTTATTATGCTGAATCACAATAATAACAACAGCTTCTGTCCGAGGGCACTTTGAAGTTCACATGGTACTTTCCTCAAATCAACCCTGTGAGTACAGGGGGTACAGCTATTACTATCTGTATTACAGAGATAGGAATGCTGAAACTCAGCTGATGATCTGCCCAAGGTCAAACAGCTAGGAAGGATGCAGTCAATAAGTATTTATTAAACACTTACTATGTGCCAGACACGGTGCTAAGTGCTTCAAAATACAAAGGCAAAAACACAAGCACTGCCCCCAAGGAGCTATCAACGTCATGGAAGAGGCAGCATGCACATAACTTGTACACGTGATACACAGAGTGTGAATGGGAGGTCCTTTCAGAGGGAAGACACTGCAAGTACAGAGGCCAGGGCCAGGGGTGAGGAGGCAGGGCATTCCAGGCACAGGGGACAGCCAGGGCCCAGGGTCCCTAGATGGTAAACCAGGAGGAGGGAGGAGACAAATTGTCAAGGTTTTTAAAGGCCAACCAGAGCATTTGCTATCTGGTCCTGTAGACAACGTGGACTTCACCAAGCAGAGCGGGGAATGCAGTCCGATCTGCACTTGGGTGGCTAGTCCAGGATGCCCTGCAGCAGGAAGACCAACCAGACAGACCGACTGGGGGGGGGGGGGGGGGGGGGGGGGGAGCATCCCGTGACACTGTGAACAACAAGGTCTGGCAACACACCGGACACACAGGATGAGTGTCAGAGAGGAGGGAGGAGGACCCTGAGCCTGCAAGCCTGAGGGACTGAGACAGCAGCAGGCAAGTTTAGGAGACGGGAGGATTTGGGGGGAAAAGATGAGTCTGTTTTGGACATGTTGAATTTGAGGCGCCTGTGGGAAATCTGGATAATACTGCAAAGGAAGCTGGTGATGGGAGACTGGAGCTCAGGAGAGATGTTAGGGCTGTATACCCTAATCTGGGAAATCATCTACATGGAGATGATAATTAAACCCCTGGGATCGGATGAGATCGGGGGAAAAGGGGAAGGACAGAGCCGTAGGGACAATGACAATGGGAATGATTTGGATGAAGATCCAGCAAAGGAGGCTGAGAAGGAATAGTCAGACCCATAGGAGGAGAACGAGGAGAGAGCCGGGTCAGGAAATTGTAGAGAGAAAAAGATGTCAAGGAAAAGAAGGTGACCAAAAGTTGCAGAAAGACAAGAAGGATGAGGACTGAGAAAAGGCCATTAGGTCTGGCAATTAAGAGTTCCTTGGTAACTCTGGAGAGGACCCAGGTCTCTTGACTCTTGGGTCCCAGACTGCTTCTACCTCACTCACAAGATAGCTCCAGTCACCCCACGGGTTGAGCACTAAGTCACAGGCTATAGTAGAAACAAACAAGTCTTGGAGGGATCCTGAGTTCCATTGAGAGCCTACCAGGGTCTGGTAGGAGTGTAAGACTTGCTCCTCGAACCACCATGAACCTCTCTCAAGGACAGCAATGATGTGGTTCAGATGGTTCAAAGAGAACAGTACTGCACAGGAGGAGCCTGGGGTTTTATCTTGGCTCTGTCATTAATTTACTGTGAGACCCCAGACAAATCACTCATCTTCTTGGGCCTCACTACCTTCTTCATCAGTAAAATGTGGATAATGATCCCTGTCTTTATTATTCCACAGGGTTACTGTCAAGAATAACTAAGATAATATATGTAAAACACTCCATTACATAATCTATTACTAATATCCTATTGAACTTCTAAAAGGAATACCTCAAATAGAACTCAGTCCCCCAGGAACATCTAAAATAGAACTCAGTACCCCTTTATTCATTCCAACTCCTCTCAAAAATGCCAATAAAATCAATCTCTTCACAATTACCAATATGTGTCTTTGCAGTCTTTTCCTGCTTGTCAAGAGATGGTAGCCTCTTGTGGTTAGAGGGTACTAAAGCCAAGGCCTTGGGTTTAATTCCCTCTAAGACCCTCCCAAAGTTAAGAACTCAAACTATAACCCCGCCAGAGAGACAGCACAGGAGAGTGAAGACTGGATCTGGAGTCAAAAGAGCTGAGTTTGAAACCAGCTCTGCTAGCTACCGACTGTCTGTGGGACCTCAGGGAAATCACTCTCCATTCTGGGCCTCACTTTCCTCCTCTACAAAATTAAGGGAGGGGTGTGTTGGATTAGATGACCTTCAAGGTCCCTTCCAGCTCTAGGTCCTATAACCTCACACAGATATGTGCTATTGGTCCTAAAGATGACCAGGCAAGAAAGCATGGACGGGAGCTAACAGAAGCGTTCCTGCTGCTCCAAACACAAACCCAAATGCTTACCTGATTCATGTGTGCGTGCGCGTGCGTGTGCATGTGCCAACAGATAGCATGCTTCAAGTTATCTTACAAAATACTAGCTAGCCCTGAGAAGGCGACAATCACACCATGTGTGCGCGTGCCCATGTGCTGTGTGCTGGCGCTGGGGCACTACGTGACAGGGGTCAGACAGGTTGGCTTGAGCAGGCTGACCTGGCTCATGGAGCAGCTGTGTGAGAAGCCCGGCGTGGTAAGTCTCACAATCTCACCCGAAGACTCATAACTGACCACGTAGAGATGGTGCTCCAAGGGGGTGTCCTTGGTGGCCTGGAAATACACCAGCTTTGTCTCCTCGTTCACCCAGATCTGCAATTAGAACACGAATACCATTACCTCAGGAAAAGAGCAGCCCAGTTCCTGGTCCACGAACCCTTATCACTGGTAAACGTCTCTCTGCTGCAAAGGCTACACTGGCAGGAGCTATTCTACGTTTTAAAACAGAACGGGCAATCCAACTCAGCAACCACTTAGGAAGCTCCTGTTGTCTGCGGAGCACTTTGCTGGGTGTTGAGGACAGATTCAAAGTTTCAATTAAAAAAAAAAAAAAGAGTTCCTGTTGGGCACAAACAAAATCAATGCACCTTGGTTAAGAAAGGAAGTTGACAAATGGTAAAAATCTTTGTATCAGATTTCTCAGATAAGAGTTGTATATTTAAGATATGGACAAGTAACAGATACAGATAGATATCTATCTATATCTTTATCTATATGACCAAAAGCCATTCCCCAATAGATAAACGGACAAAGGATATGAACAAATATTTCCTTCTTAAAAGAAGAATTGCAAACTATTAACAACCTTATGAAAGAAATCTCCAATCACCAATAATGAAATCAAAGCAAAACAACCTTCAAGTTTCACCTCACACTCAGAAAATTGACAAAAGATGGGAATGGTCAATGTTGGAGGAGATACAGAAAGACAGATACACTAATGTATTGCTGGTGGAGCTATATACGAATTAGCACAAACCATTTTGGAAAATTTGGAATCATATAAAAAAAGTGACTAATACAGACACTCTTTGATGCAAAGATTTCATTGCTATGTATATATGACCCATGGAGAGGTCATTATTAAAAAAAAAAGTCCCCAAGTATACCAAAATATTTATTGCAGGACTTTTTGCTGTAGCAAAGAACTAGAAACTAAGTAGGTGCCCATCAACTGGGGAATGGTTAAGGAAATTGTGGCAAACAAATGTAATGAAATATGACTGTGCTATAAGATATGAGTTAGCAAGTGGACACACACTCTCGTGATCTCAGGCTGGTAGGCAGGGAACAGTGTGTGTGGAGAGAAGCCAGAACCTTGGCCTAGCATTTTTCAAAAGATGCCTACCACAGGAATTCTGAGATCCCTTTTGAAAGTTTAGGATAACAGCAGGTCTATCTACTGATGTGTTTCTGCCCCATGGCCAAAGTCAAGCACTTTGATACGAAGTGATATCAAGACAGCATGATATCAAAAGAGATTCCTAGGCAGAAAGGCCCATGGAAAAAGCCCCAGTCAGAGGACATGCTTATTTGAGTTCTGGGTCTGGTGCCTTGACATTTTCTAGTTGTGTGACTATGGGGAAGTCACATAACCTTCTTGATTCTCAGTTTCTTCATCTGTAAAACAAGGATAATACCTTCACTGCCTACCCCAGAGAGCTGTTGTGACGAAAGCATTTTGTAAACTTTCAAGTGCTACAGAAATGGGAGCTGTTATTAAGGGTTGGGTCAGTGACAAATGGACAGTTACTAATGAAGAGACCATGATGGTTATTGAAAAAATAGAACAGCAGATTCTCAGAAGGGAAATTCAAAGGGTAAGCCAAATGACAAAAAAACAGAACTCAAGGTCCAAGACAGGATGTTCTTGAGAGAATTCACTGTGGAAGTGAGCCTTTAGCTGCTTCTGATTGAAAATCCCACGGGTGGATGAGTAACCTGGGATGGGTTACTATGGGATGTTTTAAAGTATATCTCTGATCTTTAAGGCTGGTGTGTAGGAATGGCAGTCACACCCTCCTGCAAGCACTATGAGAGGCAGACACCCTCGACTAGAAGAATCAAGAATAGGACCTTGGGAAACCAAGCTAGCTGTATTCAGAAGAACAGAGAGAGCGTCATCCTGAGACACCCTGAAGGACAGCCAGAGCTTCCTTTCAAGCAAACTCTATCAAGTCAGTTATAAAATGGAAAGGGCTGGTCCCATTATTTTAGAAGGGACAATGACAAGATGGCTGGTGACCCTAGAAAAACAGCCAGGATGGGGACGGGATTGGAAATCAGGCCACATGAGTTATGGCTGAAGAAAGCCTAGAGAAGAGCTGACTTAGGGAGTATATGGCCACCATATCTGGAGACCTGCCGTGTAGAAGATTTGTTCTGCTCGACCGCCAAGAATGAAACTAGGAGCAACGTGAGGGGATATTACAAAGAGGCAGACGTTTATCAGCTCATGAAAAACAAAACAAGCTTCCAAACAATTAAAGAGGTGTCTAAAAGTGAAATGGGTTGCTTCAGAATGCAGTGACTGGAATTTAAGTGGAAAGCAGATGACCAGTCATAGCAGGAAGTGGTAGAAGGGATTTCTGCTGGGGGAGGTGGGCTAGACTAAATGCTCTTTGAGGCCCCTTCTGACTTTCTGGGGTTCAGTGCCTTTGATTCTGATTCAGTGTGGCGATGCAGATGCTCCAAATAAAGTGGATAAAGGCATAGGCTGCATGTTTGTCAAATGTGCAGACACCATAAAGCTGGGAGGGATGATGGCTAACCCTATACAGTCAGGATCCAAAGAACACTGGGCCAAAACTAAGATGAAGGAAGCACAGCTAGGCAGCAGTTGGAACAAGAATCTGGGAGGCTTTAGTGGAAAAATTAAGCTCTATGAGAGTCAACAGTATGACGGAGCAGCCCAGAAGGCTGCATTCAAAGAAGCAGGCCATCCAGAAAACACGGGGGAGCAATGGATAGCTCTTCCCTGGCTGGACCACATCTGGATGGGTGCACACAGTTTAGGGAGGATGCTGATAAGCTTCCAGGGGAAGGAAACTGGGATAGGGAAGGGCTCTGAGTCCATGCTACATGGCAACTGGTTAAAGGAACCAATACTGTTCCCTGTGATACTCTTTTGACACTGCCACCACTCTGGTGCAGGCCTCATCCTCACACCTGAACTACTGCAATAGCCTATAAGGGTCTGCCTGCCCCAAGTCTCTCCTCACTCCACTCCATCCTCCACTCAGTTGTTAAGCTGATTTTCCTCAAGTGCAAGTGGAACCATGTCACTTCTGTACTCAATAAACTGCACTGACTCCCTATCACCTCCTTGATCAAATAGAAAACGTTCTGGTATTTAAAGTCCTTCATAACCTCTCCACTCTTCTCACACCTTGTTTCTCCTCCCCCATACTCTGTGATCCAGTGGCACTGGCCTCCTTGACATTCTTCCTTCACCTGACTCCATGCTTGTTTGCTTTCTTGCTGGCCATCCCCTCTGCCTAGAATCTTACCCCTGCTCCCACCCCCAACCCTGCCCTCCCCAGCTCCTCAAGTCCCACCTAAAATCCCACTTCTATAGGAAGCCTTTCCCAAAGTCCCTTAATACTGGCGGTCTTTTCTCTGTCAATTGTCTCTAATTTATCCTGACTCTGGCTTGTTTGTAGGCAGTTGTTTGCATGCTGTCTCTCCCTCATTAGACTGCACGTTCCTTGAGAGCAGGGCCTATCATTTGCCTTTCTCTGCATCCCCAGTGTGTAGGATGGTTCCTGGCATACAGGAGGTGCTTAATTGATTGACTAAACCAGAGATGGTAAGCCTGAAGAAGAGAAGACGGGGGTGTGCAGTGGGGGAATGGGGAACAACAGCTCTTTAAGTATGTGAGGGGCTACCAAGTGGTAGAGGGATTAGCCAGGTTCTGCTGGCCTCCAGTGACAGAAACAGGAGCAAGAAGGGGAAGATGCCAAGAAGTCATAGGCTGGACTTAGGACAAACTTCCTAATGACTCCAAAGGTCCCCAAGGAGAAGGGGCTGCCTCAGGAGCGGGCTCTGGGAGAGCATGTTTGGTGTGGTGTAAGGGGCATTCTTTGGGGGCCTCTGTGGTCTCTTCTGCCTCTAAAAACTTCAGTGAAATAATGGTTACAGATGATTCAGACTGACTGATCTCCCACAGAGAAGACTGTCACAGCAGCAGAGGACCCTTCCAGGGGCAGTGTCTCATCTACGCTTCCAAAACAAGCCTGGATCCGGCAAGATCAGCCCAAGTTGGATGAATGGGATCAGTAGGAGCTGAGTGCAGCGTCAAGGGGCATGGCTCATATAAGCAGCCAATCCCTCCTCAGCCAGACAAACTCTCCTTAGGCTGTGTGCTAAAGATGAAGAGATATGCTTCTCCAGGTCACAAACAGAGAACGAGGAGACAAGAAGTAGTCTGACTTCCCAAAAGAGGTCTGTGGCGAAAAGGGAAGATGGAAGCCATGCAGAGAATGAATGGGGCAGGGAAGCTACAGAAAAAAAAGTGCTCGGGTACCTTGGATCCGTGCCTTGCCAAAACCTCCCATTCACCACTGGTCAAGGCAATCTCCTCTTTGATGGGGCATTTAAAGTCATCTGGAAGACAGGAAAGAGACAAGTCAATGGGAGAACCCGGATCTGTGGCAGCAGTCTGAAGACCGACTAAAATGCAAGAGTCATCGGCCAAAGTTTGGGAATCTTTTCTGGGGAGCCAGTGTGGGCAGGAAGAATAATGCAGAAGCAGGGAGCAGCTGTCTCTCCTCAGATACAACCAGCTTTTGTCTGTACTGCTCATCCTCAGCTGCCCTGAGAGGAGGGACAGTTTTTGTGTGCAAGAAGCACTGCTCTGCGACGCAGGAGACCTGGGTTGACCAGAGCAAGTTATTTTACTTTTGTTTCCTTATCTACTAAATGGGGATAACACTTGCACTACCCACCTCTCAGGACTCTTGTGAGGAAACGTTATTACCATTACCCATCCTCTTCTCAACTAGAGTTCTGAGGGCGGGGACTTGGTCTTCTCTGGGTCTGTCTTCACTGCCTCCAGTGTCAAGTATGGAGGATAAGTCAGGAAGGGTCACTCAAGGGACAATGAATGAATGCATAAAATATCTCTCACCTTCCCCAGAAATGAAAGGCTGGGTCCAGTCATAGCCATTTGGTTTTAGCACTGCTGTGACTTTGTACAGGTGGCAAAACCCAGTTTTGCATTCATTGGCTCGAAGAAAACAGATTTCTTCATCTCCCTCCGATTGGGGAAACGGATAGAAAATATCATGAACCTACCAAGGAAAAGAACAAAAACGGCATAAGAAAGATCAATGGTTCCAAGATCTAGGTGAAAATCCTACTAAAGGGGGAGCAAATGCAGACAGCTGAAGCTCAAAGTTATCCTGGGAGATTAGGGAACCCTGGTAGTTAGAAAAAGTGAAAACTTCTCTGACCCAGGTGTGCGCCTATGCCCTCAGCTTCCTCCCAAAGCACAAATGCCTCCTCTCCTCAGTCATGAATCAGGAGCTGAAACAAGAAGCTGGGCTGCTATGAGTTTGCCTGAGTTCAGGCTGCTCAGCCAGGAGGAACAGAACAGGGCCCATAGGGAAAAGGCCTAAGGCTGCTGAGGGAGACAGCAGCGCTCCCTCGGTTCTTACATTTATCCACACATCGGTAACCTCTTCATACACGACATATGGCTGGACATTTTCAGGGACGGCTTTGGCAAATTCAAGGCGCTGCTCTTCACTCTCCGGGACAGGGATGAAGAGGGCCGGGGGAAGGAGAACCAACTGGAGCCGCTGCTGAGGCCTGTCCAGGAACATGGCCCATGCACTAGGAAGAAAAGGATGGACAAGTTTTTTGTAAGGCTTAAAGACCACAAAATAGTGGGCTGTCATTCTGGTTACTGACTCCTATGAAGGTGGTGGGGGGCAATAGCATAGTGTTCTGGAAAGGGCACTGGATTCAGAATCAGAGATACAGAGTTCAAAGCCCAGCTTGCCTCTTCCTACTCTTGCAACCTCAGGCAAATTTCTTGCTCTCTGGGCCTCAGGTTAGTCTGGCTTCTCCAACTCTAAGATGACGGAGTTTGGACCAGATGGCTCTAAGGTCCATTCCAGGTCTATGTCTTATAATCTTCTACGAGAAAATCTGAATGTCCATTCTCTCCCCCAAAGAATAGCGTATCATGGGATATCTGCCACAATATCAGGACTTTCAACACTCTTGTCTAGTTGACATCACAACAGATAAAAGTCCCTAAGAGTGTTACACACTATAAAGCCTTATACAAATGTAAGGGATTATTAGAAAAATTCTACTTTGTGATCAGAATCCTGATTTCCAATCTCTCCTTTGCTTGTTTCAACTGTCACAAGTCCAGTGTCTGTCTCCTCATCCCTTCACAGTAACTAATATATTGGTCCAAACAGAGGTCATCCTTGAATATAAGCCATACTCCAAAAATGAGATCTCTTTAGAAGGATATAGGTAGCACACTGAAAAAATTATTATCCCAAATAATCATTAAACTATACATATATTTTTATGTGTGGTGAGCACATATAAAAATCAATATATATGGTTTTGGATTTTTTTTTTTTTTTTAATGTGAAAGTTGGATAGTTGAGAAGGTAGCAAACAGGATGGTAGAGAAGGGCCCTAGGAGGCAGTGTCAGCAAATTCAGACCAGGATTCATTCCACTGGAGGAAAAAAAGAAGCCAGTGGGGGCAGACCGTCAATTCGGAATCATTCTGGATTTCTACTTACCACTGGAGGGAGAGACAGAATGGACAAAGGTTAGTTGGAGTTGGCTTATAGGCCATATCCAAGTTTTATAGAAGCCAGAATGGAGAAGAAGCAGGGCCTGTATTTGAGCCATCAGCTATCACCAACAAATCTATTTGTCATGATTATGTACTTCTTTAGGGTTTGAACTAGGCCTTGTTTCTTCTGATGGACTCGGGCAAGAATGTGTGAGCCATCCTTGGCTCTGAGAGTTACACCTAGCCATGACTTGTCCTAAAGGAAACCAGACATCAGTCTTGGAGCCCTGGCTTTTTCAGAATTGGTCCAAATCTTTACTATTACCTTTTAGATGCCAGAGACTATGAAAAGAGTCAAGATGACTGAGGTCTATAATCCCAACTTTCCCACTTAGTCATGTGACTCACAGCCAGTCAGCTAACCTCATCAAACCCCAGCTCCCTCATCTATAAAATGGGACTACTATTCAAAGTAAAAGAAGATAACGGTTATGGTCCAAATATCAAGAGTGATGGGCAGTGACTTGTTCTGGGACCCAAGGAGGCTAAAGAAAAACCTATGTACTATTTGCCATCTTGCGTCCATCCAGCCCTGGCGATGTACTCCGCTGCGGGGAAGAGCGTGCTGAACGGCTGCACCAACTCCTTGTCCTGAGCACAAACCATCTAGACCAAAATGAAACATCAGGTTACACGCTGCTCCAGTCAACCTTTCCCTAAGAAGACTACAGATCATGGGTTTAGAGATGGGAAGGGCCTTGCAGGCCACTTTGTCCAACCCCTTATAAACTGAAGTCCAGAGAGGCTACATTGCTTAGCCCAGGTCACAGAGGGAAGGGCAGAAGCAAGGTTTGAAATCAGTGCCCTCTCCACCAGTGCTCCAATGCTACCTCCCACTAGGAGCACATCTACTACAAGAAAGGCTACAAGGATTAAGGAAAGGTTCTACGTTTTGGTTTTTAAAAATCAACTGCATAAGTGCAGGGGAAGGAATGCATAGGTGAAGTCCTCTGAAAATGATTAAGGAAGCAAGACAAGTGTGAGATGGTTCTGTTACTGAGTTGTCACAGAACCTGGGTTCAAATCTTGCCTCTGCAACTTCATACATGTGTGACCTTGGGCAATTCACAACCTCTCTGGGCTTCAATTTTCTCATTTGTTAAAGGACAGAGTTGGATAAGAGGATTTCAAAGGTCCCTTCCAGCTTGGAATTCTACAATTCTATGTTTTAATGGATTTCTATTGTACTGAATACTGCTTGTCATAAGTGAGCCTGGAAACCATGCCCGAGCTTTATGATGAAATGGTATTTGACTTAAAAAACACATTCTCTAGGGCTGCCTGTTTAATGTCCATCTGATGAAGTCTCTCCTCTTTCTGGTGGGCCTCTTGATTCCATGAAGCCTTCCCTGATACCTCTATATTTCTCATCATTAGATTGTATGCTCTTTGACTGTTGTTGTTGTCCAATTACGTCTGACTCTTCATGACCCCATTTGGGATTTTCTTGGCAAAGATACTGGAGTGGTTTGCCATTTCCCTCTCTAGTTCATTTTACAAATGAGGAAACTGAGGCAAACAGGGTTAAATGATTTGCCCACAGTCCCAGCCAGGAAGTATCTGAGGCCAGATTTTAACTCAGGAAGATGAATCTTCCTGACTCCAGGCCTGGCACTCTATCCACTGCGCCACCTAGTTAAAGTTCTTTGACAGGAGAATCTATTTATCTTTGTATCCCCAAGGCCCTACTCAGGGCTTTAATACATAATTGGTTTTTAATAAGTGCTTGTTGAGTTAAATTGAAATACATTAGCGAATGATACTGGGTTACATCCAAAGAAACACATTCTCTTTTGTAAGGAGAATGATCCCTCGAGAGTATGCCCACATTCCACAGCAGTGCAGATAACTGGACCTGGCATCAGCAGACTCGGGGTAGAGGCCTAGCTCTGCCAGTCACTGTCACATCACCTTGGGCATGTCACTGTCACTCCACTCCCTGAGCCTCAGTCTCCTCATCTGCAAAATGAGGACAGTAACACTTGTGCCGACAACCTCATATGGCAAAGCACTATTAGGCCTGCTTTACACCACAAGCACCCAGGTGCTACAACGGGGAATGTGAGCTGTTCCCAGAGACGCAGTGTCTGTGAATATCTTTCTCTCACCTCAGGCAATGCTCCCAACCAATCCAGAAGTATATTATTAGGCACTGGTAATGCAAACAATGACAAGAAGCTCCCCTTCTAATGGGAGGAAACAATCTAACATACTCCTCTATTGGGGAGGTACAGAACCCACACAACACCCCTTACTTGAAGTAACCTTGAGAGAAGGCACCAGCAGTTGGGAGGCCAGGAAATACAGAAAGCGGTTGGCCAAGCCCAGCCAGCCCTCCCTGTGGCCCTTCCCCAGGGGTGCTAGAGGGTGTGTCTTACCTTTCCCTGATTGTCTGTCTGAAATTCAGCCAGTTTCAAAGCGATCTTGGGGTTCTTGCTGCCTGCAGAAAGGACAAGGAAGTGAGAAACTGTCAAATGCCAAGCATTCGGGTGGACCTGCCCACAAACCAATCTTTGGGTCAGTCCCAGGGGCAGAGAGGGCAGGGGTGGGGAAGGGGGGTGCTCAGGTCCAGGTGACCCAAAAGGGCACTTTTCCACAGGGAGCAAAGTGCTAAATATCCAAAGGTATGTATGATGGGTTATCCTCACTGACTAAAAACAGCAGGTCCTTGAGCCACCCTCAGACTGAATAAGTGAACCTCATTAAATGTGTATTAAGTACTTACTCAGTGCAAGGCCCCAAGTGAAGTAATATAGGGATTAAAAGAAGTATGAGATGTGGGGCCCTGCCCCCAAGGAGTGTATAAAACTAGCTGGAGAGACAGATGGTAAACAGGAAAAGTAGCAAGAAATCTGTGTCAAGCCTCAGTCGAGCTCAGTGCACAGACCCTGAGCGCTTTGGTAACTCAAAGTATGTAGTAAAGCTGGGGCTACAGCTCGAAGAATGAGTAGAATGAATAAGTAAGCAAGAAGAGAAGCGACCAGCTCCTCAGCTAAGCTGTAAACCCCTTAAGGGCAGGGACTGTTTCCCCTTTACAATGTCTCATCAGGCTATAGTATAGCACGAGGAGGTGCTTGTCCCACACTTGTGAATGGGAGGAGCCTTTGGAGTTTCCCTGCAAAGTTTTTGTCGTTTGTCCCGTAAGTGGAAGGAGTGCATCTGCTCTGAAAATCAAGGCCAGAGCGGGAGAGACAACTTCAGCCTCCCTGCCAGCGCTGCTCACCTGTCCTGGGATACCGGTAAGAATCAGTTTTTCTTTCTTCCAGAGCAGGAGAGGGAACATGAATGATCTCCACTTCTGATTCATCTACTTCTTCATATAAGATTCGCAGGGTCTTACGATCTTCAGACCCTAAAACGAGAGGAAGACACGGCTAAATCTATGACCTTGAGAAGGTCAAAGACAGAAAGAAAGGTCCCATGTGCACCAAAATAGCCATGGCAGCACTGTGTGGCAGCAAAAGATAGCTATAGAGTTGATGTCCATTGATTGGGGAATGGCTAAACAAATTATGGTACTTGAATGTAGTGGCGTCTTACTGTACTGTAAGAAACAATGAATATAAAGAATTCAGAGGAGCCCAGAAACACTTAGATGAACTAATACAATGTGAAGCATGTAGAACTGGGAAAACAGTATATGCAAAGAATACAACAATGTACGTGGAAAGAGCAAAAAGATGAAACTGAACATTGTGAAACTATAAGACCCAAGCTTGGTCTCAGAGAGAAGATGAGAAAATGCCCCTCCTATCCTTGTTTCCAGAGGTGGGGATATACCGGTGTATAACATGGCATACACCGTCAGACTCTGTTGATGTTTTGGTTCATTCTGCTGAAATGTTCCCCTCCCATCCCCCTCTTTTTTTTTTTTTAAAGGGATACAAGGGACAGCTTGCTGGATAGGGTTATTGAGTAGGAATATATTCAGAAATAGAGGTGATGTAAAAACAAAAGAGGACAATAAAATACATTTTTTTAATGGCTGGCCACTGGGGTAAAGACTGCACAGGAAGAACAGTGAGAAAAGAACAGGGTTGAAGGCCTAGGAGTCAAGGGAACCGAAATCATGCTGAGGGTGAAAAAAGCCCTGAGATCATTGGATTTATGAGTTGAAAAGAACCTCAGAGATCATCTAGGCCAAATCCCTCCTTTTACAGATGAAGAAACTAGGGCTCAGTAAGGGAAACATGACACTTGTTACATGGTGGCCAGTGGCAATGAAAAGCAAATGTGAGACCTATTCCAAATGGAGGGCTATTTCCACTTCCTAACCTCTATCTGAAACTGCTTAAGGGAATGACAGGTGAAAAGACAAGAGATCGTGGCTCAAGGAGGAAGTTTCAGAATTGAAAAGCACAAATGTGGGGCAGTTTTAAGCCATGGTAAGGTCTACAGTTTGCCCCTTTGGGTGGTAGCTGACTTAGAATGGAAAGAGAGTCCAAACAAGTTGAGGGACTCTAGAGTGATCCTCTAAGTGAAGGATCTTCAGCAGGAAGACATCTCCAAGGATGATGGCAGGGGCCAGGGGAAAGTGAAGACCAGGCTGGGCACTGAGGCCCTGAGGGGTTGGGGTGGGGGCCGTCCTGGAGGCCCCGGATAGGGAGAGGAGGATATGATTGGAGAGCATGACAGATACTGAGTGATAAGAGCAGAGCAAGAATGTGGAAGAGGCAGGGCAGCGTGACCCTGATATGTGTCATTTCATCCACAAGGTCCCCTGAGATAACCCGGGAAAAGAAGTGACTAGTGCTGAACCAGACCAACAGAGAAGATCAGTGCTTAGGGAAAAGTGAGGGCTCAGATGATGTGATCATCACACGAGGCACGGGAAGAAGCATTTAAGGATGGAGGGAGTTTAATAATGGAAAGGGAGTTCCAAAGGGCGAGATGAAAGGAAGGACTAGAAGGGGATGGGGATTGTGACCAAGTAGGGACAGGCAGAGTTTATGCCTAGGATGAAATGTCTAGAGGACTCTGGGATGGAGGGGGGTGGGGGTGGGGCGGGTAGGGCAGGGGATTGTAAAAATTGGGAAATGGGAGCCCTAACTGGCAGAGATGGTTAATGGAAACAAACAAAGGATTTAAGAGGCCAAGTCATAAGGTTCTATTTATAATAACAATTTGCAACGTCCTCCCCTCCCCTTTTTCGTGTTGAGTTCTTAGATCATCCTTTAGAGCCTAATTCAGATCAAAAGCCACCTCCTTCATGTAAGCCTTCCCTATTCTCCCAGTCATTGCTAACTTTGATCACAGTTCTTTACTTCACACCTCTCTGATCTCCTTACCGTGTAATATTTTGTAGTAGGTCTCCCCTCATAACTGTAAGCTTGATGAGGGCAAGCATTGTCTGCCCTTTGTGCTGCCCAAAGGAGGTACTTAATTAATGGCTACTGAATGACCTAAAGAAAGCTGGGGGGGGGGCCCCAAGACTTATGTCACTGCCAATGAAGAACTGTCAATCAAAACTGCCTGCTGGGTACAGAGTATGAGCGAGGCTGTGCCCCACTAACAGGCACCCAGGAGACCATCTTCTCAGACTGCTCAGTAGTTCAAACATATTGTCCTTTATCACAAAGTCACATGGGAAGATGGGTGGATGATAAAGTAGAACTATTAAGGAAGAAACAAACATTTCTTAACGATCAGGTTCACAGAATTTTATTGAAGATCTTCTAGTCAATATTCCTCTTGAAAAACTGACCTAAGGGCCATGGAAAAATCAGTTAGCCACACAGGCTTGACAGCCTGCAAAGGTTCTGGCATAAGGGCAAACTGTCACCAAGTCTGCTACAGAGCCATCTAAATCCTAACACTACCAGGAAGAGCCCTGGCATGCAGACCTGGCCCATGTGGAATAAGCCAAGGGCCCTCTCTGGTCCTCAGGCTCTAAGGTCTCTAGAGTGGCAAGAAGAAAGACACTGGCCTTAGAATTCAGAAGATCTGGAGATGTTTAGCCTGGAGAAGCCTGGGAGAGTGTGCACAGAGGAGAGGTGGGGAGGGACATGTGACAGCAGTAAAGGGCTGACATATGGAAGAAGAATTAGACCTATTATGTTTGGCTGCCTAGGGTAGAACCAAGAGAGACATTTTAGGTTTGAATTCAGAAAAAACTTCCTCACAATTAGAGCTGTCAAAAGGTGGGAGGTGCAGCTTCAGGTGGCGGTCAGTACCCCTTCACTGGGGCTGTTTAGGCAGAGGAGGATGACTCCTTTTTGGGCATGTTACAATGGGATTCCTCCTGGCCGCCAAGTCTCTTTCAATTCTAAGAGTCTGTGGTTCTGGGAATCTTGGCTTTAATCCCTGTAAGCAGTGGACCCTTGATCTGTGATATTGCTTCTCTACACCTCAGACTCCTCACAGATAGTGGGGTCAATTATAATCATACTACCTACTTGGAAATATTTTGGTGGGGAAAGTGATGAAAGCACTGCAGATATTTAAGTTCTCATTCTAGGATGCCAAAAGAAGCCAATCTAGCTTTCATGGCCTAAGAAGCCAGTTCATTTCCCCACACTTCAGAAACCACTCACCACCAAGAATGGATGCTGACAGATCCAAAGAGGGGAAGAGAGTATGGACTAAAACCATTCTTTCTTTAAAATCTTGAAAGGCCCCGGACCACCAAATAGGTATAAAGAAAGAAGACACACCTTCCCAGGAAGCCGTGGGACACCACCAGTAGCCTGTAAATCGATCAAATTCCTCCTGGATGACAAAGGTAGCTACTCCTGCTGACTTGGGGTCCTCCAGGACACTGGACAAACCTGCAGAGGGAGAGTAATCAATACTCCTTTATTGAAAACCTGCTCAACCTGGACACTGAGCCGAGAGCTGTAGCAAACACAGACATTGAAGCCATGTTCCCTGCTCTCCAGGAGCTCACAATCTAGCTGGGGAGAAAAAGCAGTGAGTGCTGCACAAGAAGAGGTCATGAGTGCGCCCTGAAGTAGGACCAGACTAGAGGAGGGGCTGAACAAACAGGACTGTTACAAAGGGGCAGAAGGCCATAAAGGTGGGGGGGGGGGGGGGGGGGGGGGGGAAGCGCTATGAACTGGGGGGGGGGGGGGGGGGGGGGGGGGGGGACTCCAGTGCCTTAGGGTGGACTGGAAGAGGCAGCAGGTGGGATGGGGTGGGGTAAGGAGAGTAGGGATGGGTCACACCACCCGAGAATAAAGACAACAGCCAAAGCGGTATGTGAGATGGCGGGTTTTCAAGGAGCCTATCCCCAAAGGCCTGAGCTCACCTTTATGACAGTACGTCATTCGTTTCTCCTCTCCAGTCTCAATATTTGCCACCCACAAATCATTGTTATTTATGAATGAGAAGAAGGAAGGGTCAGCAGGACAGATCTTGGGATCCATCCGAGGCCCAGAACACTGGGTTTTGATTTCTAGTGGCTTCATGGGAGACACCTGAGGAGATACAATACAGTTAACAGACACTTATTAATTACCTTCTATGGGCAGGGGCACTTGTACATTAGGGGCCAGAGCAACTAAGTTCACAGTGACTAGAAGGGAAGATTCAGGTATACAAATCTCTGTAGTGTCAAAGCCTCAGACAAGAAGTCTGAGAAGGGGCAGAGCACTTTACTTTTCAGCTGAGGAAGTCAGGAGGAAGGGAAGGAGGGAAGAGGGTAGAAAATCAAGGAAATCTTAAAGAAGAAACTGGCTCCAAAGCTGGGACCAACAGGCAGTAACAAAGAGGAAGGGAAGAGCCCCTGAAACACAGTGTGGGCAAAGTCTCGGAGACAGGAAGACAGCACTTGGCTGGAGTCAGAACACGAGGAAGAGGGGCTTGCTGATCCTGTTGGCCTCATCACCTACACCCCTGCCCAGCCAGGCTCAGAAAACTCACCATGAAGCCATTCTCGCCCCCATCTCGGCAATGAAAGAGGCTGTTACTGGCCTGGAAGAGGAAGAGGCCACTGTTGCTGTGGAAGTCATAGGAGGTGATACCAAACACACCGAGACGCTTACGCTCCCGCAGGAGCTCTTCCTCCCGAGAGTACACACCGTGGTGCGGGGTAGCCTGAGGGCACACAAAGGAACGAGGAGGCAGTGAGGCCTGCTAACCTCTGCCACAGGAGGCCAGAGGTGCCCCCAACTCCTTGCTGCACAACCCCACCGTGACCAAGAACTAGTTCACTAACAAAGTCAGGTCCCTGATGGCCTGGGGCAAGCAAACCCATATTCTCTTTTCATGAGCCCCACTGCTAATCTTAACCATTTAAGGGACAAACAAAGAGTGCCACCATAGAGGAGAGTGTGACAACAATAATAATGACAACTAGAATTTACACACCACTTTAAGGTTTACAGAGCACTTCACAATTATTATCTCATTTGTTCCTCACAATAACCCTGGGAGGTAGAGGCTGCTATTATCCCCCTTTTACAGATGAAGAAACTAAGGCAGACAGCGGTTAAGTGCCTTGCCCAGGGTCACCCAGCTAGCCATGTGTCTGAGGCTGGACCCCTGACCTCAGGTGTTCCTGGTCAGCGCTCAGGTCCAGCCCTCTCCACTGTGCCACCAGGGCCTAGGAAGGTGGCTGGAGGCCTGGAGTTAGAGTTGGAAGGCTTGCGTTTAGAGTCTGGCTCTTCTCTCTTCTAGAGATGTGATCATAGGTTAGTTACTGAAGCTCCCTGGGCCTCAGTTTCTTCAGCTGTCAAATAGGGATAATTATCACAGTTCTTCCCTCATGGGGTTGTTGGGAGGTTCAAATGAGAGAATGGACATCAGGGGATTTGCGAACTTTAGAGTCCTGTATAAATGTTAGTTATGAACACGAACAAAGTGCTGTGTAAGGTTCAAGGGGGAAGGAGAAGCACTCAAGGACAGGTGTATAGAAAAGCGAGTCTCTGAGTCAGACTTTAGGAAAGGACCAGGAATTCTACAAGGAAGGAAAGAAAGGAGACTTGGGGCCTAGGGAAGAGCATAAGCAAAGGCAAAGAAGTGCAGGGGAGATCTATGGATGCAGAGAGCAGCCTGTGTGGAGGGGGCATTGTGAGAGGAAGCTGGAAGTCAGGGGGTGTCAGACTGTGGAGGGTCTTATATATGTGAAGATAGCATTCGTTTCAGTTGCCAGGCAAGAGGCAGCTACTAAAGATGTACCCTGCAGGTTGCCAGCCTTCCCACATTCCCTCGGCCTTCCACTGCCTCCTACCATCCCTTCAAGGGCTGGAGCGGGAAGTTCTTCCTTCCACTAAAAATAAAACCCTACCCCAAAACACTCTCTTTCTGCCTGGCAAAAGCAAAGGCCAGTTCAAATTCAGAAACATCTCCTTCCCAGGAGACACAGGCTGCCAAGGTCATTAATTATTAGCTAGCCTCAACAAAAGGACTTCAACACCACTTTCCCTCAACTCACTGATACTGCATTTAAAAGGAGAAGTAGATCCTTCTGATAAAGAATTCTTATCAAGAACACACACTGTGACATATGCACATGGGGGGGGGTGGGGAGTTTCACAATTGTTCTCCACCTGATTTATATTAACATGGCAGAATCACAAAATCCCACAATCAGAAGGCCTCAGGGCCATGTAGTCCAAACCATCACCCTAAACAACTCCCACAACACCAGCGAGGGAGGAGTCACCCTGCCCACGTCCCAGAAGCCCTAGGCTGTGGAGCCCACTTCGGCCCCTCCAGAGGCAGCTCACTCTGCTCTCATCGTGAGGAAGGTTTTCCTGACACCAAGCTTAAATCAGCCTCTTTGCAACTTCTACTCAGTGCTCATTTTGCCCTCAGGAGCCAATCAGATTAAGTCTAGTCCCTCTTTCAGCAGGCAGACCTTCATGACCTCCCTAAATCTTTCCTTCTCCAGGTTAAACAGCCCCAGGTCCTTCAACCAATCCTCAGATAACAATAACCAGAGTCCCTTCACCACCCTGCACACCTTCCTCTGGATGCTCTCCAGCTTATTAATGTCCTTTCCACAATGCAGCACCTTTGCTCCATGTGATTTCATCAGGGCAGAGGACAGTAGAACTGTCATCAACTTCTTGAATTCTATGCCTCTCAATGCAGTCTAAGATGACATTAGCTTTTATCAGGCAATCTCAGAGTGCTGATAAGGCATGGACTTAGAGCCTCTTCAGATCCCCAGCTCTTTTTCAGATGATATCCTTATTAAATTGGATCTTCGTTCAATCTGATCCAACATTCTTTTTTTTCCTCACTTAATAGTATTTTATTTTTTTCAATTATATGTAAAGATGGTTTTCAACATTCACTTTTATAAGATGCTGAAGTCCAAATTTTTTTCTCCACCCCCTCCTTCCTTCCCTTCCCCCCTCAAGACAGCATGCAATCTGATACAGACTATACATGCACAATCATATTAAACATATTTCCACATTAGTCATGTTGTGAAAGAAGAATCAGAACAAAAGTGAAAAAATCATGAGACAGGGGGAAAAAAAAGAGAGAAAAGAGTATGCTTTGATCTGCATTCAGACTCCATAGTTCTTTCTCTAGATGTGGATAGCATTTTCCATCACGAGTCTTCTGGAATTGTCCGATCATTGCATTGCTGAGAAGAAATAACTGGCCCAACATTCTAAGCCTGATGGACCTTTGCAGGTCCTGATTCTGCCAACCAATATGCCAGTTCTCTCTCCTGACTTGGTGTCTCCTGTGAATGTGACAAAGATGCTACTTATGCTTTTTTCCACATCAGGGAGAAAAATAGGAAAATATCATAGATTTCTTCAGCACTTCCCTGGGCACTTCCTTCTAAGAGGACATCAAACTATTAATAAATACTCATTAGAACTCACCACTCAACCAGATCCAAGTTCATTTATAATTGTACTCCTGTCTGGCCACCATCTCTCATCTTGTCTAGAAGAATAACATTATTTTTCGTAGCAGTAGAGAATTATAAACAAAGTCAAAGCCCAATGATTGGGCAATGGATAAAAAACTGGGGTGTGTGAAGTAATGAAATACTACTGAACCCTAAAAAATGACAAGAAGAATTCAAAGAAACATGGGAAGAACTGAAAATAAATTACTCAAAACCAGGTAAGTATACAATAACATACAACAATGCAAAATGGAAAGATCAAAACACTAAAACTGAACCCTGTGTAATTACAATGACCTAGCTAGTCCCACAAAGAGGAATCAAGATACCATATACCCTTCTCTTTCCTGCAGAGGAGGGGACCCATGGATATGGAATATTACACAAAAATGTCAGACACAGTTTATGTGCTGGTTGGTTTTACTGAACTATTTCTCTTTTTTTTTAATGGTCATTATAAGAGTCTGGAAAGACGGCTTTCTGGGTAGGGGAGGAAAGAGGAATATATTTAGAAATGAAAGTAATGTAAAAAAAAAAACAAGATATCAATAAAAATAAGCTAAAAAAGAACATTGTGAGAGATGTTATTGCTAAAATCTAGGTAAAATGTATCTATATCATTCCCAATTCACCAGGTTAGTAAACCTGTCAAAAAGGAAATTATAGTTTTCCCTCTCTTTGAAAAAAACTGCTGGGAAAACTGGAAAAGAGTATGGCAGAAACTAGGCATAGACCAAAATCTCACATCATATACCAAAATAAAGTCAAAATGGGTTCATGATTTAGATATAAAGGCTGATACTATAAGTAAACTGGGAGAGCAAGGAATAGTTTACCTGTCAGACCTGTCAGAACAGAATTCATGACCAAACAGGAGATAGAAAACATTACAAAAAGCAAAATGTATAACTTTGATTACATTAAATTGAAAAGTTTTTGCACAAACAAAGCCAATGCAACTAAGATTAGAAGGAAGGTAGAAAATTGGGAAAGAATTTCTACAACCAGTCTCTCTGATAAGGGCCTCATTTCTAAAATATATAGAGAATTAAGTCAAATTTATAAGAATAAAAGTCATTCCCCAATTGATAAATGGTCAAAGGATATGAACAGGCAGTTCTCAGATGAAGAAATTAAAGCCATCTATAGTTATATGAAAAAATGCTCTAAATCACTATTGATTAGAGAAATGCAAATCAAAACAACTCTGAAGTACCACATCACATCTATTAGATTGGCCAAGATGACAAAACAAGAAAATGATAAATGTTGGAGAAAATGTGGGAAAATTGGAACACTAATGCATTGTTGGTAGAGTTGTGAAATGATCCAACCATTCTAGAGAGCAATTTGGAACTATACCCAAAGGGCTATAAAACTGTGTATACCCTCTGACCCAGCAATAGCACTTCTAGGGCTATATCCCAAAGAGATCATACAAATGGGAAAAGGACCCACATGTACAAAAATATTCATAGCAGCTCTTTTTGTGGTGGCAAAGAATTGGAAATTGAGAGGATGCCCATCAACTGGGCAATGGCTGAGCAAGTTGTGGTATATGAATGTAATGGAATACTATTGTGCTATAAAAAATGATGAACAGGCTGACTTCAGGAAAACCTGGAAAGACTTGTATGGTCTGATGCTGAGTAAAGTGAGCAGAACCAAGAGAATGTTGCACCCAATAACAGCCACGTTGTGCGATGACTAATGTTGATAAACTTAACCCTTCCCAGCAATACAAGGATCTAAGACATCTCCAAAGGCCTCGTGATGGAAAACGCTATCCACATACAAAGAAAGAACTATGGAGTTTGAATGTAGATCAAAGCATACTATTTGCTATTTTGTTTTCTGTTCTGTTGAGTCTGTTTCCTCTTTCTGGTGGTTCCTCCTATTGGTTCTAATTTTTACTTACAACATCACTAATATGAAAATGTGTTTAATAAGAATGTATATATACATAGCCTATATCAGATTGTGTGCTGTCTTGGGGAGGGTGGTGCGGAGGAAGGGAGAGAAAAATTTTAAACTCAAAAGCATATGGAAGTGATTGTTGATAAATCAAAATAAACTAATTAAAAATACAGTTTTGTTTATGTGTCTCTCAGGGGCGCCTGTGTACGTAACCAGCATCTGCCAAGATGACAGCCTGAAGTCCACCAAAATTTAGTCTTCCCCACAGACACATGGTAACTTAAGAGTGGTAGCCCCAGAAGGGCACTTAAAGAGACCATGTTGCACAATCTGTTTGTTTTAAAATGTGGAAGCTGAGATCCAGAGAAGGGAAGCTGACATGAGAACTCCTCGCCCTAGTGCAGTGCTCTTCTACCATAACACGCTCTATTACTAACTGCTAGGGACCACCACTGCCATAACTCCACCCAACTCTATCCCTATCCAGTCAAGCAAGTTCAATTCAAGCAGAGCCAAACTGACTATCTTCTGCAAGCAGTCTGAAAGGACCACAGATGAACCTCCCTCTTCCATCCAAACAGTCCCTCCCAGATGGCCTGGCAGATTATGCCTCGGCCAAGTCTAGGGTGGCGCAGGAAGCACGCCATCTCACCTGAAAATGATCCAGCATCTGTTTCCATGACAACAGCAGCAGGGCCTCTTTGCGTACCTTTTTGGGAATTTCTGAGTAAAGGAGAGAATTCTCACGGCTGCCATAAGGCATCCCTGGGGAAACAAAAAAGAAATCCATGGCACCAGGCCCTAGGAAAGGCAGCAACTGCTCAAACACACCGACCCAGAAAAGGGGAGGTGTGGCTAGACAATAGTTCCTGTGAAAAAGATCTGGGGGCTTTAGTGACTGCAAGTTTGACTTGAATCAATAATGTAACATGGTAGCCAAAAAACTAACATGATCTTGGGCTACAGTAACAGCTTAGCATTCAACAAAGAACATAACAATATAAATGGAGAGAACAACAACAAAACAATGGCTACTAAATGCTGGGAAACTATAAAGACCAAGTTTGGTCGGTCCCCCAAAAAGATATATGAGCCATCGCTTTGCCCTTCTCTTTGCAGAGGTGGAGGACTATTGGTATGGAAGACCACATTCTAATATCCGGGTTTTTCGATGTGTTAGCCAATTTTGAGGAACTGGGTCTATCCCTGCAACAAATTAAGAAATTTAAGTGATGTCAAAAAAAAAGATATCAGCGAGGCATTCAGCCAGGATGCTGAAGGGAATATAACCAGGTCATTTGAGGACTGACTTAAGGAACTAAAAGTATTTAACCTGTGAAAGAGAAGACTTATGGAAGACAAGGTTAGTATACGAAGAATGGTAACAGAGAAGAGGCCTGCTTGGCCCCACAAGCAGGAAGTTTCAGACAGGTAGATTTTGGCTCCCTATTAGGAAAAACTTCCTAAGAAAAGAGAACAGCGTTGCCTTGAGAAGTGCTCAACAGCAGGTGACCAGGAAGCTACTCGTTGGGATGCTGTCAAGGCAACTGCCATCTGAGGTTCCAGCCAGGGACAAACATGAGGAAACGCTGACAGGCCCAGTCTAATGGAACACACATTTATGGTTACTGATGGCCTGGTAGAAGAAGAGGGTGCTGCCACTACAGTAACATTCAGAGGCAGGAGGTAGTGGCAGGGGTGACTTCGGCTAGGGCACCTCTCTGAGTAATCAGAGACCCCAAGGTAATCAGTCACGGAGCTCCCTCGGTGGGCAAGTCTAGGGGACTCATGACATAGCCACCAGCTGTCCGGTCTGAAATGCTAGTTGCTAGCAGCCACCCTATTGCCCTAGACCAGCCAGGCTGCCTTTCTGCCTAACAAAGGGGAGGCTCCAGGGCTAGAAGGGTTCTTACTAGTCATTCACATCCCTGACAGGCTCCACCTTCCCCCATGGCCCCAAATATTCTGGCTCTTCTGCACTAGGTTTCTAGGAGTTGAATAAGCGCCAGCATCTCTTCCACCACAGAATCCTTTCCTGGCTCTGCTGTGCCCAGAGAGTCAGTGTCAGACTCTCAGAGCTAGAAAGGACCTTTGCAAGTCCTCAAGTCCAATCCTCTCATTTTACAAATTAGGAATCTTAAGCCAACAGGGCCAAGCGATCTGCCTAAGGTCACACAGGCAGTAAACAGTCAAGACAAGGCTTGAACCCAAGGCCTCCGGTTCCAAGCCCAGAGCTCTCTCCCACACAGAAAAACACATCTAATTACTAGGCCCAGCCTCCAAGGTCTCATTGTGGTCCCCAGGGCAGCAGAGGAACACTCAGAGCTCTCTGAACAAGTGAGACAGGCAACCTTACCCCAGCCTCTTCTTTTTGTTTTATTTTGTTTTTTTGCTAGGCAATTGGAGTTAAGTGACTTGCCGAGGGTCACACAGTTAGTTAAGTGTCAAGCGTCTGAAGTTGGATTTGAACTCAGGTCCTCTTGACTCCAGGGCTAGTGCTCTATCCACTGCGCCACCTAGCTATCCCAGCCTCTTCTGAGGGCATCCTCTGGTTCCTGGCCTTGATCTGGGAAGGAGTAAGGACTGCTCACCTGTCCTGGCTCATCAGGGGGATCCCAACACCCTGCCAAGAGAAGAACTGTGGTATCAAGGATAATCTTCCTTCAAAGTCAAGGGAAGAGAGGTGGCCCAGAGGAAAGAAGCCTAGATCTACAGTCAGAAAACCTGGGATCTAAGCCTGGCTCTACTACAACAGTACTGAAATTCCCTATATCGGTCTTTCAGATGGCGATGGCCACACCCACCCTTCCTACCTCAGGTGGATTTGTATGGACAGTCCTTGTAAATGTACAGTTGCCCTAGGAAGGTGAGCCATTAGTAGGGATGTTATAGCACTGGCCTCTAAGGACACAAAAAGGGGCACTATGAGGGAAAAGTGGAATCTGCTCTGGGCTCAGAAGGCCTTGGTTTTAGTCCCAGCTCTGCCACTCACTCACAGTCACCTCAGCTTTGGGGACTGAAGTTCCCTCACCTATAAAAAAATTATTAAGGGAGTTGGACTGGATGAATGCTAACATTTGCATCCCTTCTAGCTCTGACGTTTTGTAATGTGTAATTCTGTGGGAAAGGGGAAAGATAAATCTGCAAAGCAGCAGCCTAGGCAGTCTCCAGGAAGCCTCCTCTTCTGGAGAAGCAGGATATGCTTTGGCCCAAGTTCTGCTGTGACCAAGGCAATGACTCAGGGAGGTGGCTCCAGCCAACTAGTGATTAAAAAAAGAAAAAGGCTCTCTTACACACACACTCAGCCCTGTATTACCTGACCATCATAAAAACAGATCAGGACGACCCCACACTCTCTTCCCCTTCCTCCCCACCCCCCACCAACAGACTGCAGGATGTTCCTAAGGTGACTCCAAGGTTCCCAAATTGTTTGCAGGTGGCATCGGGCTAGGCAGGATTGGTGCTCGCATTCCCCCTGGCAGTCATAATGAGGCACTGAAAGAAGTTTGCAGAGGAGGAATGCAGGGTATGAATATAAAACTAGAGGTCCAAATGATCTTAACAGGCTAGAACAATAAGCTGAACCTAATAAAATTCAATTTAATAGTGATAACTGTACTTGTGTAGCTGATTTTACTGAACCAAAGTGCAGGTTTTTACATTTCAATACTTCAAAGAAACCTGCAATGAAAAAACCTGGTGCCTGGTTCAATAAAATCAGCCACAGAAATACAGGATGAGGGAGCCAGGGCCAGAAAAAGCTTATGTGAAATGGACTTGGGAGTTTTAGTGGACTGTCAGCTTGACGTGAGTCAAGACTGTGACACAGCAGCTACAAAATTTAATTTTATGACATGAAACTGCATTAAAAGAAGCAGTGTCCAGAACCAGGGAGGTAAGAGCCCTATTGTCCTCTACACTGAATAGGCCATACCTATGATGCTGCCCTTCCTAAAAGCATGGCACCCAGAAAGGAATGCAAGAAGCAAAGGATCCAGAGAAAGGGAAGCAAGATGGTGAGAGATCATGTTAGTTGAAGGAACTGAGGACGCTTAGCTGAGAGAAGGGAGGAATTAGAGGGAGGCGTGACTGCTAGGTTCATGTCCTTGCAGACCTGCCATGTAAAAGAGGGTAGAACTCAGAACAAAAAGGGCAAGCTGCAGGTGCAGAGAAGCAGATCTAGGTCTGACAAAGCCGTCAAGCTGCCTGGGCTGGGTCAGGTCCCCATCCCTGGAGGTCTTCAAGTGGAAGCTAAATTAGCACTTTCTGAGAAGAATATAAAAGAGATTACTGTTCAGGCATGAGCGGTACCAAATGACAATGAGGCCCCTTTCAGTTCCAGAAGTCTGATTCTATGGTTATTTTAATCCGATTTCACTCGGACAAAGGGTTGGGGTGGAGGCTAGACAGACCCATCTAGGAAAGGACTGTACTAATTACAGAATCCATAACAATTAACCTAAGTATAATAAAAATAATTACTGCTACAGAGGGTTTCCCCCCCTCCAATTAGCAAGAGTGACTGGACTTTTAAGAATCAGAGATTTAATAACCAGATTTACTTCCTGGCCACTCTCCACAGGAAATCAACCTGGTCAAAACCCCCCTAGGCATATTGGCAATGGACATGTGACATGTAGGGAGGGAGACCATGTAGTGCTGACAACGAATTGAGCACTGGACCAGTCGTAAGACCTAGGTTAGGTCTCAGTTTTGCCCCATGTTAGACTACAACTTTAAGACAGTTGATTCACTCATTTCCTCCTCAGTGAAACAGGCACAAAGATACTTGTACTACCTACCTCACAGAGTTGTTATGAGCAAAATATTGCTACAGTTGTTGATGTTGTTAGGGATTGATAAGAGAAAGGGTGTGGAAGCCTGGCTTACCGAGGTAATAAAGTCGGTGAGAGTGAGGGCCTGACTCATCTGTCTTCTGGACAAATTGGAAGTCATGTGGGGCCTTGTTCACTATCATGCCTGAATACTTTCTGCTGCTGTGAATGATGTCTCGGAGCCCATCCCACGAGTGCTTCTCCACCTGGAAGGGCGAGGAGGGGTCCTCCATCTCCACCACATCAGGCCTCTCAGGCAGGGCATCCACAGTGGTCATCCTTTCTTCCCCCTCAGAGATGAGTGAGAAACTACACGGAAGATGGCAGGGGTGAGAAAAAAAAAAAAGGGGAGGGGGGACATGAAAAGGGCGTTACAAGCAGAAGCACGGCAGACCATAAAACCCTCTGAGACTCAGCTCACTGAAGCCAGTCCCTACCAGTCAACCCAGTAGAAATCTTTACAGACAAAGACTACCCCCAATGAAACTAAAAGTGATAACATGTAGTAAATGAGAGAATCAACATACTCTTCAGCCCTTTACCAATTCCTGAACCACTATATTACTCATACCCACCAGTAGCTCCAGCATCTTGAAAGACTGAAAGCCAAAATCCCTATCTCCAGTTCAGTTCAACAAGTATTAATAAAAAATGCGCTACATGGAAGGCCCTGTGTTTGGCATGGAGATACAAATGTGAAAAATGACACTTTAAACTCCTTGAGGATAGGGTTATGTGGAAATTTAACAAGTACACAAGTATCATCTAACAAACAATGAGATGATAAAACCGATGTAGCCAAGAATAGAAGGAATGCAGAAAATTAGGGAAAAACTGTCATACATAATCTCTCAGATAGGATATGATTGGGTTTGAATACTGCCATGGTGTAGGAAATGATGAGCTGGTTGATTTAGAAAAACATGGAAAGACCTGGGACTTAGGAAAGAAGATGCTATCCACCTTCAGAGAAACAAATGACAGGTGGAAGTAAGTACAGTATGGTCTTATATATATGTGTGTATGTTTATATATATCTATGTATATGTATATATCTCTCCACGCTTAATTGTAACCTTCTTTAGGATGGGAGGAGGGAAAAAAATAAAGTAAAAAGCGCACAGCAGAGAACAAAAGAAAACCAACAAGAAAGCAAAGAAAAGCTGGACAGCTTTCAAAACAATATGTAGTATTTATTATACAGGTTTTCTTAAAATGGAAATTTATTGTTTTATATTGAATCTTCTCCTATGGTCTGCTGTGTACATGGCAATGTTTTTTTTTTTCCTTTTTCTCACTGTGTATTTAAGTTTAAAATTAAAAAAAATAAAAAAAAGAAACAATAAGACAGAGTAAAGGAAAGTCAGACAAAATTTAAAGAAAATTTAACAAGAATCAGATTGGCAAAAATGAAAAAAAAGGAAAACAACAATTGTTGGAGAGGCTGTAGGAAAACAGGCCCTCTAAAGCACTGTTGGTGGACTTGTGAATTGGTTTAGCCATTCTGGAAAGCAGTCTGGAACTCTACACTCAAAGTCACTAAACTGTTGTTATCCTTTAACCCAGAGATACCGCTATAAGGTCTCAAAAACATCAAAGAAAAGGGAGAAAGGGCTCATAATCACAAGAATATTTTTAACAGCTCTTTTTGTCAGAGTAAAGAACTAGAAACTAAGAGGGTGCCCATCAATTTGGGAATGGCTGAACAAGTCATAATATATCAATGTAACAGAATATTACTGAATCATAATAAATGATGAAATGGATGGTAGCAAGCAAACCTGGGAAGACTAGTGTGCACTAATGCAGTATAACGTGAGCAGAGTCCAGACAACAATTTACACAATAACAACCACAACACAAAGACACACAGTTCTGAGTAACTGAAGAACTCTGATCAATGCAATAGTCAGCCACAATTCTAAAGAACCAATGATGAAGCATTGTACCCACCTCTTGACAAAGAAGTGATAGGTCAAGGTGGAGAATTAGAGATACATTTCTGGACATGTCCCATATAAAGATCTATTTTGTTTGTCTACGCAAATTTGTTAAAATGGGGTTTTTTTTCTTTTTCAGTTGGGAGGGAAAAACAGACAAGCAGGACAGCTTTGAAAGTTACGTGTTGAATTTGTTATATACTTAGAGGGTAAAGCATACCAGACAGGGTGATTTGCAATTTTCCATGCAATTCTTTCTAATCTCTTTTACATATGGAAATGCTCATTTTGTTGGGGCTCAGAATTTCTTTTAAATTAAATTTAAAAGTAAAATTTAAGGAGGGCGAAATCAGTTTCAGCTGAGGCAGGGATGTGGGGGACAGAAAATCAAGGGAGGCTTCACTAAGGAGGCAGCATCTGAGCTGGGCCTCAAAAGAAAGGCCAGCAGTGGTGAGGAAGAAGTGTGATCCCAACTTGGGGACATAGGAGAAGGTAAGACAGTCATTCTGTTGGTTGAAATATAGAGCAGATGAAAGGAGGTTAATGAAAAGATGCTGGTAAAAGAGGTTGGAACCAAACTTCAGAGAGCTTTAAAGTCAGGCCAGGAATGGATTTTGTCCTCCTGACAGCAGGAAGCCAATGATGGTTTTTTGACAAGGGGAGGGGTACAGGCAGACCCATGCATTGGCAAAGTTATTTTCACAAAGTCACAGAATCTTAGAGTGGAAAAGACACTTGAGGTCATCTGGTCCAGCTGGTCCCTAGAGCCTAGGCTACCACCACCAAGTGGGCATCCAGCCTCTGCTTGAACATCTCCAAAGATGAAGGGAAAACTCCCACCCACACAAAGTAGCCCAGGCCATTTTCTAGGAGCCTTTGTTTTCCAGAGTGTCTTCCTTATACTGAACTAAAAACATGCTCCTCTATAACTGCCCCTCATTGCTCCTAGTTCTGGTAAATTGGGTCATTCACAGCAGTGTTTAGACTGACTTTTAAACAAATATTTGTCTGCCAGGGCAGCAGTGCACTGCTGATTGAGTAGGGTAAGAATGAAGAGAAAGAAGATGCTTTATTCTCCAGGAGAGTGTCATGGCCAAAGCATGTGGTAGCAGCAGTGTGACAGTCAACAATTGGGTACTTGAAAGCTACAGCTGCTCCCCTAAGTGGGAGGAAGAGTGGGGTGTCCACTGAAGCAACAGCATGCTGAGTTACTGCCTCAGCCTGCTTTACTTGCCCTTACTGTACATTTTCCTGTAACCCTAAACACCTACAGAGAGCCACTAGGGATGTTTTTTAAAGGGCGAGGTGTCACCTGCAAGGTATTATGCCAGTGTCAAAGGTATGGAGGTCACAGCTTGATTCAGAATCCTATGACTCAATTTGCTAGGCAGAGCCCCATAAGGTTCTGTGCAGTTCAGTGAGAGCACAGAGACATACAAAAATAATCTCACTGTCAGACTCTTTCCTCTACCTGCAAGTCATGTATCAGGAGCCTGCTAGTTGCTCAGAGGGCAGACCTTGGATTTTTCAGTTCCTCTGAGAGAACAGCTTCTATTACTAAAGTCAGTGTTCATTTGCAAAGAAGAACATTTGGAGCTAGGAAAGCATATACCACCTCGACCTTGTTGGCTGCTATTACGTGCTTGGCAAGATGGGGCAAAAGGCTTTCTAAGAGAAACAAGAAGCAGACCTATGTTGATCACCACCTCATTTAATTTTTGTAACTTCCATTTGCAAGAGCCTTGACTTAAATATATAGCAAGGAAGCGTTTCCCATTTAAAGGGGAACTTGTCTGGACTGGAACCCTCACAACTACTCTTATTTGGCTGTGAGTTTCTCATCACCGGAGGGCTTAGTTCAAGCAGAGGCTAGACAACCACTCGGCTATGCTTCCCAACCAACCAGTCAATAGCAAATTTTCATCAATATGTGAAAAGTATCACCAGAAGGCCTTCCTTCTTAAAATGGCCTCTCTACAGCTATCACACTCCTCTCACCCCCATCCTCTGTTGTTTCAAGCTGTCATGCAAAACTTGTGAGGTATGATACAGATGTGTTCTACAGTCTGGATTGGGCAGGCAGGCTGCAAGTCTGACAGTCTGGTTTACACTTGCTACCCTCACTTCCAAACCTCCCATTCACTTTTCAGTTCCTTACAATCTGGCTTCCAACCCTGCCACTCACCTGAAATGGTTTCCCTCAAGATTCCCAAAGGTCTCCACTGCTAAATCCAGAGGACTTTTCTCAGTCCTCTGCAGCTTCTGACACTGTTGACTACCCTTTCCCTCCTGGACTGCATAACATTGTTCTCCAGGTGTCTCCACCTACTGTCTGTCTGATCATCCAATCTCGGAGTCCCAGTGCATGGTTATTCATTGCTTGCTCCCCACACTCCACTGGCATGAGGACTGTGAAGAGTTCTGCTCTGGGCACTCTTTTCTCACTCTACACCCTCTCTCTTACAGATTTCAGCTCCCATGGGTTCAAATAGCTTCTTCATGCAGATGACTTCCAAATCTCCAGTCACAGATCTACAGACACACCTCCTTCAGTCTACCACCAACGGCCTCCCTGAGAACTCTTTCAAGCTTAACATGTTCCAGGTAGAACTCATCACCCCCTTCAACCCCCATTCAACCCACTCCTCCTTTAAATGTCCCTCGGTCTTTAGCACACCATCATCCTTTCAGTCACCCAGGCCTGTGACCTAGAGTCTTTCATCCTGGATTCTCCTGTCCCTCACCTCCCATATCTGATCAGTTGTCAAATTTCACTGATTTTACCTCTACGACATCTCTCACATCTGTTTCCTTCTCTCCACTCACCTAGCTACCACCCTAACATAATAGTACAGAATAAGTGGATAGCATGCTAATTCTCAAGTTAGGAAGACAGTGGTTCACATCCCACTTTTGACTCCTGCCTCCGTGACAACTGTTAGTCACTCAACCTCTTTGGGCCTCAATTTGTTCATCTGAAAAATGAGAATACCAGTTGTGAGACTCAAAGATAATGTTCATCAAGTGGACTTTTACAAATTAAAGTTATAAATGTCAGACAGTATTATTAGTTCAGGTCTTCATCACCTCTGGCCTAGACTACCGTAACAGCCCACAACTGGCCTCCTTGCTTACAGTCTCTCCCTTCTTCACTTAATCCTCCAAAAGGCCACAATAATCTTCCTAAGGCACAGATCTGACCATGTGGCTCCCTCCTAAGGCTAGTGGACCAATGCTTTGGCCTAGCATTTAAAGCCTTTTCCTAATCTGGCTCCCACTAGCTTTCCAGCCATATTTCATACCACTCTTCGTGAACCCACTGTTTCAGCCAACCTAGATGACTAGCTATTTCTCAAATCTGAAGCCCCATCTCCCACCTGCATGCAACTGCTCAAGACATTCCCCAAACTTGTCCCGTATTCTCTATTTATCCCTACTTCTCAGAATGTAGGCCCAGAGATTTGGCCCAGGTGCTACTCACAGGCTCCATGAAGCCTTCTCTCACTCCTTCCCCCAGGTCCTTGATTCTGCTTGTACATGGACATCTACAGCCTCCTTTCCACCACTGCCTCCCAAAAGAATGAAAGCATGCCCATTAGAGTACTTTGAGAACAGTCAGTGCTTAATGTCTGTCAAACTGAATTGAAAACAGCAACACTGGCATTTGAACCTAAGGCCTCAGGCTGTTGTGCTGGTTCCATTCTGCAAGCAAGCCCCCACTCCGTACCGCCCCTGTTGCAAAGCACTTCTCCGGGTCATGTCCCTACCTATCATCACCTCTTCTCAGCTCCCATTTTCTAAAGGGGGATAAAGCAGGGGAGGAACACGGGAAGGCAGAGGGAAGAATTTCTCACTGATTTTGACACCCTATTTTACTGATCAAGCATTCAAAAATACCACGTCACACTTGTACAGAGCATTATGATCACGGAGCACTTTCACAAACATTAGCTCTCCTGAGCCTCATGCCACCCTCAGAAGAGCCACAAAGCAGGAATTACTTGTCTCTATTTTACAGAGGTGGAGACTCAGCCCAAAGCAACAAGTACTTACTCAGTGTCTACCACATACAAGGCACTGCACTCAGGTCTGGTGGTACAGATACAAAATAAGAAAGCTCCAGACACCAAGGAGCTTACATTCCATTAGAAGGATATAGTCAGTCAGTAAATGTTTATTAAACAGGTGCTAAGTGCTGGCGATACAAGGGAAGACAAAAAACAGCCCCTGTCCTCAAGAGCTCACAATCTAATGGGGGAAGCAACATGCAAACAACTATATACAAACAAGCTCTAGACAGGATAAGTAAGAAATAATTAACAAAGGAAAGCCACTAGCATTAAGGCAGACTGGGAAAGGCTGCCTGTAGAAGGTGAGATCTTAGCTGGGACTTGAAGGAAGCCAGAGAAGCCAGGAGGTGGAGATGAGGGTACAGCATGTACACAGATATGTACTTAAAACATAATTCCAGGATAGTGACAACAGGGGGATCAGGAAAGGCTTTCCAAGGACAGTAGCACACGAGCTGAACCTTGATGGAAACTAAGGATTCTAAGAGGCAGAGGGAAGGATGCAGTGAATTCTAGGAATAGGGGGAGGAGGTCTATGTAAGGCCCCGATGTAAGAGATGGAACACCACGTATGAAAAAAAGCAAGAAGGCCGGTCTGGCTAGACCGAAGAATATGTGAGGTCATCTGTAAGGCTGGAAAGGTAGGCTGGTGCCAGGTGGCACCAGAGCATTAAATGCCCAGAGAAATTTGTATTTGATCCTAGAGGTAAAAACACATGGATGACCAAGAAGAGATGACTTCTTATCTGCCTCTACCACAGACCCAGGACTAAAGCAGAAAGCAGGAAAGTCTCTGATCTTATTCCCACTTCTTATTCCATTGTTTTAGCAAGAGCTTCAGAAAGAAGAAACACAGCAACACTGGAACTGGAAGGGCCCCTATCTAATTCTATAGGTCTACTATAGTAGGCCCCTGGTCTAATTCTATAGGTGAGGAAACTGAGGCCCCCAAAGTGAAGTTTGTTCAAGGTCCCGTGTAGGTAGTGAGCAGCAGAACCAAGGCTTGAACTCATGCCTTGGGACTCCAAATACAATGTTCTTGCCACCATATCACGTTGCCCTGGCACATGTGTCGAGATGTGCTGAACCATCTGGCTACCCCAGACTTACCCTCCACTTCTAGCTGGGCCACAGTACTCTCCAAGAATTAGCCCCTGACAGCCTCTCTGGCCCCAATCCCAGTCATAAATATAGAAGGAACAACATCATCAACCCTCAATAATCCAAGCCTAGACTCTATCCTCCAAACACATTGACCAAAAAACCACGAGCTCAAGCATATGAGGCAAAAAGAGAGAAAATACTTTTGAGTCAGACGCCTGCAGATGGAACATGGAATGAAACCACAGTCAAGAAGACAACGAAGGATGTGATGAGACATCTGGCAAAACTTTCAGAACCTTCAAAGGTGGTGCCACATGCTCCAGCCAGCCAGCCCCGAGCTCTCATCCAGGTAGGAGTTGGTCTGGCAAAGCAACATATTCCTTGCCTTCCAAAAGGCAAAGGAGTTTTTTAAAGTCACCCACTACCTACTGGGAATAGAGCACGAAGCTGGGACAGGTGAGTGAACAACTGTACCTTTAAGAACAGGTCTATAACAGCTTCTCTCCAAGCCCATCCCCAGGAAGCCTACTTGAGTTCACAATTTGAAGAGTTTGCACAGTCTGAGAAATTCAGGCAGATTTGGGGCAAACTGATGAACAATTCCACCTACACATTCTTTCAGCCAATCAGGGCAGCCCCTTCAAAGATGGTGACATCATCGAACAAACAACCTCACACCACTCAAGGAAGTCATTTACAAGGCTGGGTCAGATTTCAGTGGCCTCAGTCTATCTGGGTCCTTTGATAACTCAACCCCTGCCTATTTGAGCATCTACTCAACTTCCAGAACTTCCTTTCAGAGAGCAAAGGTGAGCCACGGATATGAGCTAAGAAGACATATAGATTATTATCACCGGCTATAATCCACCGAACATTCAGTCAACAGCAGAGGAAGAAGAAGGGAGGAGGGAGAGAGAAGTCCAGCAGGTCATTTATTATCTTCCTGGGTGTGCAAGGTATTACCCAACCTCAGAATTCTCGAAGGGAGGGAGGAGGGTGTCTGGCAATGGAACTCCAAAAGGAGAGTCCCAGGAACAAAGGTCCATGGCTGCAGATTCCCCTGGGCCCAGGATGGGCCAAGCATCCCTAGGGAAATCTATCCCTTATCTCTACCAACAAAAGCTGTTCCTCCTTTCCTTCTACTTAACTTAGTCCTCAAAAATGATTTTTAGCCCATAACAATAACAATAATACATAAAGTATTTAAATTAAGAATAGACCAATCAACATCCCCAGCTGACCCAATCCTCCAAAGGTATCTGTAGCAGGAACCCATTGAGTATTCATATCAAGCAACTAGATAATCCTTTTCATTTTTTAAGGACCAGAATTGTGATTGTTTGTTTTTGGGGGGGGAGGAAGGAATTCCAGGTGATGAAAGTCCTTCTACCAATGTAGATTTACAGCTCCTCTGCAAGCATAGTCTTAGAAAATGCCTGGGGCACTTTGAGGTTGACTAAGGTCATGCAGCCAGTATGTGTGTGGGGGGGGGGTAGGGGTAGAAAGCAAGGCTGGACCCAGGTCTTCTTGCCTTTGTGACCAGTCCTTTTATCTATTAAGCAGTGCTGCCTCTTAGTTTTTTTCTCCCTCAAAACCATTTCCTCCAGCTGCAGCACTGGAATGGGGCTGGGAAAGGACCCCTCATATATCACACCCCAAGTCTCTCCCTCCTCCCCTCCTTCCAAATGAACCTGCAGACAAGGTTCAACGAAGTAGGAAGCAGCAAGATTCTCACAGATCTCCACCAAGAGCTGGACTATATTTGCACTGAAGCCCCAGTAGTGTAATGGAAAGCACAATGGGTTTAGAATCAGAAGACCTGGGTTTGAATCCTGGCTCTGCCCTTGGGCAACTCATTTTCTCAGTCTATATCTCAGTTTCCCCACCTGAAAAATGAAGGGATTGGCCTAGATGATCTCCAAGGTTCCTTCTAGCTCTAAGAGTTTGGATCCGATGGCCAGTGCCAAATGCTTCAACAGGCTGATAACTGCACAAGCTTTTGGCACAGAGACAGAGCTCCACAGGGCAACATTACCCCAAAGCTCAGTTTGGGCTTACTAAGCACTGGTGGAGTGATGTTAAGAATCTGAATTCTGGAATGTTCCACCACTCTCGCAGCCTCAGCACCCAGCTCAAATGTACAAGACACTGCATACATCTTGCCTTATATACAACAGGCACATCATAATTATTTATTGAACTGAATTGCAATTGCCATGAAAAGTCTGGGCCAGTGAAGACCAATAATCAACTCCCCCCACCCCCACCAAGGAGTGATTCAGCAGGCAATTCTTAAGCACCTCCTGGGTGACAGGGATGCAAACACAAAGTGGAACAGTCCTGCCCTCTCAGAACTCACAAACTACTTGGGCTGGGCTAGGTGAGAGCCATAGGAACACGAGCACATAGACTGAGGCCTCATAGGACCGCAGAGGCCACTCAGCCCAAATTCCCTCACTGGAGCCAGAAGGAGGCCAGTGGAGCAGCAAAGATGGGGGTAGCACGAGGGGACCATGGGCACGCCCAGCTGGCCTCTTTCTCCCTTTTTACTCGGCTGCCTCCAAACCTTGGGTATATTTTGATATTTTGGCCATCTGATCCAGCTGAAGGAGCTCTGTACTAGGAATCAGAAGACCCATGTTCTGACCCCAGGTCCACCACCCCCTAAGCACATGACTACTAGCAATTCCCTTTTCTCTGGGGTTCTCGTTTCTTCAGCTGTTCAACAGGGGAAAGGGGGTAAGAATGAGATGCTTCCCCAAATCTCTTCCAGCTTTGACCATCAGAGACATTCACAGCAAAGTAGCAAGTTACCTTTTCCAACTTCCAGTGGTCTTGCTTTCCAGGCGCAACCTCTTTACCTTCCGCATTAACTACTCAGCAGGCTTCTGATAGGATGGGAACCTAGAAAAGAAAGAGGCCAGATGTCAGAGGGATGACAATGGCAGGAATGGCATCAAGAACTCACTTTGGTCTATTCAGGTCAATCTCTGAGCCAATGCAACTGTGAAAGACTTTTCAGACTCTATGCCTGAAACACTACAAAACTCTGCCAAAACAAGGACACCCTGCAGAAAATAAGCATCTTTTCTCTGTGCAGTTTTCTGAGCCTCACATGACTCTGGGGTAGCAGTGAGTAGCCCTCCTTGGCAAAAGGGGAGAAACAAGGATGCCTGATGTATGACAGAATCAAAGCAAAGGACATCATCCCACTGTCACAAGACCATTGCAGGGTTTAACATTTCTGGAGCCAAGAAAAGCTCAGAGTGAGGAAAAGACCCCAGAGAGCTTCTCTTCCAACCTGTACCACCTCTGCAACCAGAAAGCACCTTTGGAACAGTTTCCATAAGTGGCTGTTCAGCCTCTGGAGAGCTCCAGGGAGGAAGGAACCACTACCTCCTGAGGCAGCCCAGCTCATCTAGGGGCAGTTTTCTTAGTTATGAAGTTTTCCCTTATGCAAGTCAACACTACCCTCTCTGTAACTTGCCCTCACTGGTCCCAGTGCCAGAATTCCAAGGGGACAAACCTAAGATCAGAGCACAGTTCCCCGCCCTCTTAGCCATGGTACCTAACATAGTACACACTCAGATGTTCAGGAGAAAAAGCGCAAGAAGCTCAAGGAAAGAAATAAACAAGATTGCTCCTTTAAAATACTGCTTTCATATAACAACCCTTCTAAGTCAAAGGAATTAGAGTAGAGTGGTGGACATAGCCATGGATTTGGAGTCAGAGTGCTTGGGAGTTTGAATCCTGGCTTTGCTGTTTATGACAGACAGCATGCCAGGCCTAAAATCAGGAAGACTCCTGTGGGAGTGGGCTTAACCCTGTTTGCCTCAGTTCCTCAAAAAGCTGGAGATAGAGAAAGCCCCAAATGGGGTCATCAAGAGTCAGATACAACTAAAAATGACTAACCACCACAATCTGCAGCTTACTAACTGCATGACTCTGGACAAATCACAATCTTTCTGGGCCTCAATTTTTTAAAAATGATCTCTATAAAGTTCTCTTTCAATTCAAGCCAATAAAAGGACTTATTAACTATTTATGTGCAAAGTGGTGGGGATACAATGCCAGAATGAAAGCAGTCTCTGTCTTTGCGGAACTTAAAATAATAATAACAACTTTATGTAGCGCTTTTCAGTTTGCAAAGCACTTTACGTGTACTATCTCATTTGATACAGATAAGTACACAAGTGATAATCTGGGAAGGAAAATGAGACTTCCAGTTTTAAGTCCTATGAACTACTCCCAAATCACCCAAAGAAGGCAACGAGGCAGAGAGTGCACATGCAAACTTCCCTAGCTATTAAGTGCCCATATAATTCCAGCCCAACTGACCTTCTAAAGAGTCCAAATATCTTCTGTTCCAACTACAGCCAGGGCCCTAGGCTTTGATTAAATAAATCTGTCAATGACTGGGCAGACTTGACAGCTGAGATAAGCTATCTGATCTCCTCCCCCCTGGAATTCTCTGTATACCTGGAGCTTTATGTGTTACTTCTCACCTGCAAAACTCCTCCAGCTCTGAGTAGTACTTTTGGCCCACTGCCCTTCCTTCCCGTTCAACTTGGAGATGACCCTTTCAACTGCCTTGATTTACCCAGAAGTCACTTGGGAGTTTTAGCAAACTACTCCAAACACACTACAGAACGAAAGACCTGTGATATTTAAACTTTAGTCCCAGCTCCTAATAAGCAAGTTTACTCTTGTCTTTGAAATAGGTGACTCCTTTACAGACCAGTGAAGATGCCAATGAGCAGCTGGCAGAGGGCTGGCTAGGACGGGCAGAGCCGCCAGAGATGCTGGGGGACGGGGAAGATGAAAATCCTAGAGCAAATAAGAATAGACAAGTGGCGCTCCCATCTAGAACTTGAAGGTGCAGTCACTTTATAAAATGAAGAGATGAGATGATCTCTAAACCCTTCTAAGCTCTAAACTGTGACATCATGATAGGATCAGAGATCTGGAGCTGGACGGGAACCCAGAAGTTATCTAGTTCAGCCCCTTCATTGCACAAATGAGGAACTCTGAGGTCCAGATAGATCAGGCTCAAGGTCATATGTGAAATAAGAATCCAAGGCGGGATATGAGCTCAGGTAATTTGACTTCAGGGAAAGCTAGGTGGCAGAGTGGATAGAATGCCGGGCCTGATGTGAGGAAGGCTCATCATCAAATCCAGCTTTAGACACTTACGAGCTGCGTGACCCTAGGCAAGTCCCTTGATCCTGGTTGCCTCAGTTCCTCATTTGTAAAATGACCTGGAGAAGGGAACCAAAACCACTCCAGTATCTTTGCCAAGAAAACCCAAAGAGTCAGACACAACTGAACAACTACTTTGACTTTGAAGCAAATGCTTTTTCCACTACATCACATTGCCTCTCGTTGCTGTTGTTACCTAGGGGGAACTAGGTAGTGAGGTGGTTAGAGTGCTGTGCCTGGAGTCAGGAAAATCTTCCCAAGTGTAAATGTGGCCTTAGACATTTTCTACCTGTGTGACCCTGGGCAAGTCACTTAACCTTGTTTGCCTCTCCTCATCTGTAAAATGAGCTGGAGAAGGAAATGGCAAATTGATCCAGTATCATTACCAAGAAAACCCATGATGCTGAGCAACAACTTTGCTTTTTCCATCATACCACATTGGCCCTCAAATCTTTTTAACTATGGAAGAGAGACAGGGAAAGATGAAGACTCTGAGTGTGTTGAAGAAGGTTAGGAGGGAATCTGCTGTAAGATCTGGTTGTAGCACAGACTCCCTCCGGGTCATCCCTAGAAGGGCTCTAGGGAGCACTGAAGGAAGGGAAACTGAAAGGAAGACCTAGCCCAAGAACAGTAAACATCTAGAAAAGTTCAAGAACGGAAGGGGGGAGGGGAATTGAGGGGCACTGAGGAAGAGGAGGACAAGAAGGCTTCATAGTGCTGGATTGGTCTGAGAAGGTGGCAGAGGAGGTGGCCTAAGTGTCTAAGGAGGGAGGCTCAATGAGGATGATGATGATAACAGCTGCCATTCATAGAGCTCTTTATCTCATATGATCTTCACAACAATCCTGTGAGGCAAGGGCTCTGATTATCCCCATTTTTAAGGAGGAGGAAACAGGAGCTCTGAAGGTTTAAATGATTTACTCTGAGTCCCACAGCCAGATGGAACCGGGAGGCAGGCGCAGAGAGAACTCACAGGCCCTGGAAAAAAGAATAGGTACAAGAGAAAGAAAGGCCTGAAGGAGGGAGCAAGGGAGGAAACACAGACAGAGAAGAACGTACCTGGGGGAAAGGATGCCGGAAGGGGAGAGATTGAGGAGGGAAGCCTAGACAAGGGGGACCTCCCGTGCTGGAGAGAAGGTGCTTTACAGGGAAGTCTGTGTCTCTCTCACACATACACCCCACGTGCACCCCTGGGGAGGGTCAGAGAGGAGGGCTGTCATCCACAGGAGGACATATTCACCCATGAGATCTAGGGAGACTCACGGAGAGGTCAGACACTCACGGGGAGCGGGGGGAGACACATGGGAGGGTGACATATATGGAGGTGGGGAAAGACACACACACACACACACACAAGGAGGGGTCGTCCATCCCGGTGTGACTCAGAGGGCAGGGTCACCCACACTCAGGGAGGGGCCTTACACACGAGGGCGGGGGGGGGCTCACATTCCGAAGGGACACGCACACGGGTGGGGAGAGGAGGGGCCTTACACCCAGGAGGCCCACCGTGAGGGAGGGAAGGGGACACAGACAAGCCAGGCCCCTCTGGAAGAGAGGGCGGACAGGGCAGACACTCCCAGAGGGGAAGCCGGGCCGGGCGGACACTTCCCGAGGAGAGGCCGGGCCGGGCCGGGCGGGAAGGGGAAGGATGGGGAAGGGAGGGGAGGTGGGGCCGGTCAGCTCCTCACCGCGGCGGGGTGGGGTCGGGGTCTCGGGCTCGAGATCGGGCTCCGATTGGGGCTGGGGGGGGGGCGGCCTGACGGCTCGTCACTCACACCCTCGGCTTCATGGCCCCGGCAGGCGGCCCCGGAAACGGCCGCGGAGGGCGGAGAGGGGAAGGTGGCGGACACGGGGAAACCCGGCGCCTCCGGACCTTTCACCCGGACGTGGATCCTCCGAGGCGGGGGCATGGACCCCGAAGGGAGGGAGGGCGGCACCACCGCCCGGATGTGACCAATGTAGTCTAGGGGAGGAGCGAGAGGGAAAAGGCAGCACCCAATTGGCTGATCCTCAGAGAGAGACAGAAAGGTATCCTTCCCCGCGAGCTGAGAACCCATTGGCTAGAGGCCTCCCGGCTCGACTATCTTACGGAAAGCTGATAGTGTGAGTTAGCCTAGCTGCCCTACGAGCCGTTGACACGGGTTCGATTCCCAGCCAAAGCACGCCTTTTCATCTCAAGTAAAATGCTGAGGAATGGAATTCATGATTCTCCTGTTTATTTATGAGGGTGATATTACCTAAATAAAAAGTTCTTGAAAACACATTTTAGGAATCAGAACAACGCTTCTCTTGCCCCCCGAAAAGCAAAGTGTTTCCGCCCGGGATCGAACCGAGGACCTTTCGCGTGTGAGGCGAACGTGATAACCGCTACACTACGGAAACTGGCGCTAGAAAGACCTTTAGAAAATCCTAGAGATGGGGCGTCTGCCATGGGGCCAGGGCTTGCGCTCTGAGCTTGTCCTTCCCCTTGTCCTTTTCTGTGTTCTGATCGGAGGACACGTGTGCACACTCACGGAATGGGGAGCCAGGACCTGTGTGACAAACCCTGGTGCACACTCACACACTCACACGGGATGAGGAGCCAAGACCTGTATGCCAAATCTTGTGTGTGACACTTGTAATGAGGAATCATGAGCTGTGTGCCAAACACACACACACACTCACACTCACACACATACACACACACACATGGAATGAGGAATCACGAGCTGTGTGCCATACACACACACACACACTTGTAATGAGGAATCATGAACTGTAGGAACTATGTGTCAAATACACACAGACTCATACTCACCCCCCCCCCACACACACAGAATGAGAAACCATGAACTGTGTGCCAAACCCTGGTGCACACCCATACACAGATATACACAAACACCTAGACAAGGAATGAGGAATCATGGAATGTGTGCAAAACCCTGGGACCCGCACAAACACAAACACACACAAAGAAGAAGCATGAGTTGTGTGCCAACCTAAAAGGCCTTGTAAAGAAGAGTGGAACTTGACTTTGAAGAAGGAAAGGAAGAAGTGAAGATTGCTGTCCAAAAAAATGACTCTTTTGGTGGTGAAATAAAAGTCAAGCTCAGTTGGACTGGAAACAAAGAATCCTGGGTTCTCAGCTCCATTGAGTCACCCCGGTCCTCAGTCTCCTTATCTGTAACAATGGGAATAATCATCCTTGAACTATCCACCAGAGCCAACCAGAGAAAAGTGCTTCAGTCTGTCAGTCAGTCAGTCAACAAGCACCTACTAGGTGCCAGGCACTGTGCTAAGCTCTGGGGATACAAACACACTGGAGACACAACATGTAAATACTTAAGTACATAGAAGATATATAAAGAACAAGTGAGAGGCGTTAGCACCTGGGGCATCCAGCAAAGGCATCCTGCAGGATCCGCTGAGATTTGAGCTGAGCCTTGAAGGAAGTCAGGAAAACCAAGAAGCCAAGGGAGACAGCATGAGGCACAGACGGTGCAAAGCTACAGAGTTGGGAAACTGAGCATCTTGTGTAAGAACAGGACATAAGAAAGTATAACTGGAATCTAGAATGCTCAGAGCATAAGGATAAAGGATAAGAAGACTTGGAAAGACAAGAAGGGACCAGGTTATGAAGGGTTTTAAAAGCCAAACAGGAGTTTCTAATTTGATCCTGAAGGTAATGGGGAGCCATTGGAATTTAGAGAGCAGAAGCAGGGGGGAGGGCTGGTATGGGAACATCACCACTTTAGGAAAATCAAGGGAATGGAGAGAGAATTGAGGCGGGGAGAACAATCAGAGGCTATTTCCATAATCCAGGTGAGAGATGCTTGAGGGCCTGAAGTATGGTGATGTCTGGGTGAGTAGAGAGAAGGAAGAAATACTGTGAAGGTAGAAAAGACAAGAGTTGACAACAGATTGGATATGTGGGCTGAGTGTGAGGAGTAAAGGACGTCACTAAGTATGTAAGGCTGAGTGACAGGGAGGATGGTGGTGTCCTCCACAGCAATAGGGAAACTGACAAGAGGAGAGGATTGGGGGAGGGGAGGGAAGATGAGTTCTGTTTCAGATTTGTTGCTTTTGAGATTCTTCTGGGACAACCAGCTCCAGATATTTAGGAGGTAGTTGGGGAATCTGCAGGTCAGGAGAGAGGTTAGTCCTGAATAGATAAATCTGGGAATCATTTGCATAGAGATTTCCAGATTCAACTCTTGGGAACTGATGAGATCACGGAGTAGGGTAGTATAGAGTCAAAAGAGAAGAGGACTCAGGACAGAGGTTAGGGGACTCTCAAGGCTAGTGTCTGGGACGTGGATAAAGATCCACCACCATCACCACCATCACCATCACCACCATCACCATCACCACCACCAAGGAGAGAGCAATGTCAAAAGAATGGAGAAAATAATATCTGGGGGTCTGATTCATTGGTCTTCAAGCCTCCAGTCTCTAATCCTCCTCTCTAAGCCATCCTCTGCATAGCTGCCAAACTGATATTCTTAAAACATAGATCTAGCTATATTACCCCTGCCCTTCTTATTCAAAAATCTTCAATAGCTTCCTATCATCTCTAGGATAAAATACAAATGTCTCAGCTGGGCCACAAGCTGACTTCTCCCTACTTTTCCTTTTATTTCATCTGACTCATTAAATAAAGTACAATTCAATTCTATTCAACATACATTTTTTAAGCACCTACTATATATCCAGAATGGTGCCAGTCCTGAGGTTCACTCCCTCTTAATTCCATGCAAACTGATGTGATAACTATTCCCATATCCCTATGTCCCACATGACAATGGTCTCTGATCTTGATGCTTTTGCACAGATGGTCTCCCATATTTGGGATACATTCATTCCCTTCTCTTTTGGGGATGTATTCATTCCATACTTAGAAGAAAGCACTTTCCAATAATTCCTACTATTATCCCCAAATGTCACATGGGAAAGGGGAAAAGGGAGGATAGGAAGGTAGGATACCCTCAAATAAAAATATTTTTAAACCTCTCTCTCTCTCTCTCTCCCTTTCTCTCCCTCTCTCTCTCCCTCTCTGTCTCAATTACTTTGTACTCTTTTGTATTTACTTATCTCTGTATATGTATCCACTCTGCTTCTTGAAGACAGACATTGTTTCTGTTTTTTTGTTTCTTGAGTGAGTGGGTTGGTTTCCTGTTTGTTTGGGTTTTTTTGATTTATTTGTTTTTTGGTCTCTGTACCCCCAGGATCAGCAACCAGGCACATATCACGTGCTTAATGAATGCTGATCAAATTGAATTGCTCTTGATGTAATGAATCTAATGACCTCTGGGCTCCATATCCTGGATTTGGAAAATGAAGAGGTTTTTTAGTCTGTCTTCACCTTCCCACTTCCACTAGGTGGGAGTAGAAGAGCAGATTTGGACAGCAGATCTCTCCATTGGCCCCACCCCCTTTCCTGACTTTCTCTGGACCCCTCTCTTCCCACCCCCCCCCGCCCCCCCACCCCCCCTACAGCCCAGCCCCTATCAAGATCTCCCCTTTCCTCCCCAGGGGTCGCCTCTGCTCCCTTTTTCTTCTAGCCTCTCCCTGTACCCCACCCTCCAAACCGGTACCCTAACTTTTAACTGATCTCCTGCATGATCCGTTTAAGGAATGGATGGGGCAGTGCAAAATAGGAAGCCCAGTTATTATTGCAAATTTACATACAACTGGAAGGTAGTTTAAGAGATCACCTAATCCAGGGAGATTTAACCTGAATGGATTTCAAGGGGTCCCTGAATTTGTTTTTTTGTTTTTTGGCTAGGCAATGGGGTTAAGTGGCTTGCCCAGGATCACACAGCTAGTAAGTGTTATGGGTGTGAGGTTGAATTTGAACTCAGGTCCTCCTGAATCCAGGGCCGGTGCTTTACCCACTGCGCCATCTAGCTGCCCCAGGGTCCCTGAATTTGGATGGAGGGGAATGACATCTTTATTTTCACCACTCTCTAACTGAAATTGAACATTTCCTTGAATTGTTTTAAAACATTGTTCTGAGAAGGGGTGCATAGGCTTCATCAGACTGCCAAAGGGGTTCATGACTTGCCTGCACAAAAGTTAAGAATTTCTACTCTAGAGGACAGAGACTCAGGGAAGGGGCTAGGAAACCAGTGAGGGTCTCAGTTGGGGGACAGGAGCTGAACGGAGTGAGGACTCAGTAAGAGGAATTGGAATTGAACTGGAAGATAGGGGTAAAGAGGGAGGAATGGGGGTTCAGCGATGAGAGTGGGGTGCACAAGGTGATGGGAGTATAGTTCTTATTGAGAAAACCTGGGAGTATAATGAGAGGAATGATGGTTCATTAAGAAGGACAGGGATCTGGGGTAGCTAGGGGGTGCAGTGGATAGAGCTCTGGCCCTGGAGTCAGGAGGACCTGAGTTCAAATCCAGTCTCAGACCAGACACTTGACACTTACTAGCTGTGTGACCCTGGGTAAGTCACTTAACCCCGACTGCCTCACCAAAAAGCAAAAAAGAAAAAAAGGAGAGAGGTGAATGATGTGATCGAAAACAACGAGGGGACAGATGTTTGGTGGGAATGGGGGATGGGTGCAGGGGATGAGTTTTGATGGTGTGATAGGGTGGGAGTTCAATGGAAAGAATAGATTAGTGATGGAGATTACTTAGATTGGGATAGAAATTTAATCGGTTGGATTGGATGTTAGTAAGAATGCATAGGAGCACAGTGAGTTTGATAGGGGCATCATGATCACATGGGGACTTAGAGAAGGGGAAGGAGATTCATTGGGTAAATAATGCTTGAGTAAAGGGATGGGGCAGAATGAGGGTATCGAGGCTCAGTGAGGGGAATGGAAACTCAATAGATGAGAGAATCAGGGGAGTGAATGGGCATCAGCAATAG